CTTGGGAATTGGGGTTCGATATAAAAGCAGGCAATAGCGCCGCTCTCCGAGCAAAATTTCCCTCATAGCACACTGTACGACGTATGCCTGTCTTCATTAGCCCAATCAGAGCAGAACTGTAGGACGTTAAAACCTACTGTTTATTTCATTTTCTAGAAGAAAAACTGAGGTCCCATGTACACATTGGCATGCACGTTAAAGATTCCTTGTCTATTGGAATCTGATATAAGAGTAGGCCGTCGGTAAACCAGTGCCCAACCCTCAAATACCGAAATCCCCATAATGCACCACAAGTTGAATAATTAAACATACATTATGCAAGAGCTAAATCTGTCTATTGCAGGTCTTTCTTTAGGCCTGAAATGTTATCTAAATTATTAATTACACATTAATTAACCTATCCACACCATAATCAACTCTAGTGGATTGTGAGCCGATTTACTGCATAACTTTCCTTCACGATTTAACGATTAAATGGATAATTGAGACTATGCTGTTTATCGTACTGCTTTTAGTAATGATGATCAAGGCTAGGCGGAAATTCAATTGCTTTGTTCTCGGTTCATAGTGGATCAATTTGAATGAAATTTTCAGCAAATTGCCTTTACATTATACCTAGTTTAAAACTATTATAGTGAGAACTGCCAACTCGTTATCGAATCTCCCATAATGTATCTTTAATTAGTACCCAACATTAAATGTCTCTGGCTAAAGGAAATAAAAAAAAAGATAAAATTAAAAAGTCCATTTATTTTTATTTCATTGATTTAATGAATGAGAATTTTGGAAACCTGCCCATGTTTTATAGGGAGTATAATATAAAGTAATTGATTTTGACCAGGAAACGATATTAACCATGATTTATGTAAAGCTAGTATAGTTTAAGCGAGAAGTGTAATTATACGCTAATTAACTATTAAACCTCTGTGCCATGTCTAGACTGGATCTGATATACTACAGTATATTACTTTATTTAAAATGGTCAGTTCCTACATTTACTGTCGGAATAATTTACATATTTTGTTGCCAGTTGAATAAAATTTGTTTTATAAGAATGAGTTTGTATATATTTGTCAATTGGACTGGGTTTTGGGTTGGGTTTTTTTCAATAAGATGTCTCCACCGGTCAAAGAAAGAATTGGAATGAACAAAACAATATATGTAGCAATAAAGGAATCATCCAAAATATATTTGAGTAAATCAAGTGGGTTAAATCTGAATGGACAAATATTTAAGAAACAATCCTTGTTGTATCTTTCGGGGAACTATAATTTCCAAGCTATCCCAAGTACCTGAATAACCATAGTTTACATACTTGTAAAAGTTGCTCTGGAAGGTGATTGCCATGATTACCAATATACAGGTCACAATTCTATGGAATATAATTACTGCTTATGATTGAGCGACTTTTCGACTAGGCTTCTCTAGTCATCATCTTTGCTTGAAATGACTAGAGAATCCTAGTTGAAACATCGCTCATTCATAAGCAGTGATTATTGTATTTCAAAGAATTGTGACCTGTATATAGTCCTGTTCAATTACTAAATGCCAATGAATTTGGAAACAATTCATGATTACCAAGTCACTCATAAATTTAACAATAGAATTTCTTAAATGATTTGGGTCACCCTTGTTCAACCAATCTAGCAATTGCTTTCAAATGGCAAAATATTTTGAACTGAACATTATAGAAAAGCAATTATGGCTTTATTTATTATTGTGATGTTTAATTTTATCAACTTTTTATTATTGGGTACCCTTTGTGCATTTAACTCTGTGCATGTATTTCTTACATGTTCTCAAGAATGTATCGCTCAAATTCATATGTTTAAACAATTTGTCTTGATACCATTCAGTCAACATGATTCTGTATGTTGATTTGTGGAACCCTACCCAAAATAGATTTGTTAAAACATATGGACAGTTGGTCTAGATAATGTTTACTATCAATGGCATTTATCATTTAGTTAATTAGTACACACTACTTAAAACATAAGCCAGCAGTTAATTTATCACTAAATAGTGGCTATAAGAACTTATAGATCTACTAACTAATGGATGTTATCAGTACTATTGTCACTGTGAAGTACTAGGGTTATCAGCAGTAGTTATGGGCGAATCTGGTTGAAGTGGTCCTGGAGACATACTATAAGTGGTAACGTTTCCTTATTAGTAGTCTCTCTACTTGTAAACTGACTCTACTTGGACCCACTGTATGAATCCTTTTAATCCATCATTAGTCAAATTTATTGATATGCTTGTTAAAGGGACATTTTGCATCAATTTTTTTTTTAAAACAGTACTTTATAAAGCTTAAAAAAATTTCATGTTATGTTTTTTATCCTCATAGCTGTGGAACCATAATTGGGAATAATGTTTTGAAACGAAATATCAAAATTGTGTTACTTTTTGGGGGTTAAATGGAAATATGTAGTTTGATGAGAAATTGTCCCTTTAACAATATGATACTTGTGATGTAAATGAACACCTTACTTCAAGTATTCTGTTTTGATGACCAAATATGGTTTGAGTACTTTATTTTGATTTTATTTATTAATTGACATTTGGTAAATAAAAACTTACAATGCTGTTGATTTAAACATAGTATATGGTACCCTAGTTTTTTTTGTGTGTCATTATATCTTGTTTTTTTGATTATTTTACAAACTCTCTTTAATTCCGAGTACTTGAAATGGTGTGCTGATGGGGTTACTGAAAATTATTAATTTTGAAAGAGTACACTTTCTGGGCATTGAAACTTTGGGTGTTATTGCAAGGGTCAGTCATTCTGAATTAAGAAAGTATGGCGTTATTGTTTGAGCTTCATTTCTGAATTATCAGAGGTTGTTATTAAGAGATCTTGTTCTAAGTAATGTAACTAAAAGAATACTCTGAAGATGAAACTGAGGGGGTGTTATTAAAAGTGCAAAAAAAGGAGTTAACCTTGACTTAAATACCGTTTTGATACTTCCTACATATTTTATATGACTTTGTTTTGAAGAAGATGGAGATGATATTGGCTTATTTTACTAATGGGATTTTTGCCAAACACCCAAGGTTTGGTATAATAGAAGTGATGCTAGGTATTCGATGGTTGTTATCATGTTGTATCTAGAATATATTGTCAATCCGAGTTTATCTTCCTGCTTCTATAATACATGATTAGTTCAATCTACTGTATATCTCTTCCTATCTTCATATATATTATCTTTCACTATTGGCTTATTTACAAGAAGACTTACTGAAAAACATGTCAAAAAACAGCTTTTTTCAACAGAAACTGTCAATTTGTCTACTTGTTACCTGAATTATTGGGGTTTTTTTTAACAACACTTAAAGTTCAAAAATGTCCATTCCACTTCCCATACAGAACAATTTTTATTAAAGCTTAATATATATATATTAAAAAAGATTTTAGTGTATGCAAAAAAATAATTAAAAGGAAATTAAAAATGCTCCAAATCTTTATTGTCACTTTATAAATTTTGGCTTTTATATTATTAGTTCAGAAACCTATTTATCAATTTCTTTGTGATTTGATATTTGTTGTTTATTGCTGGCAATGTTTGTATCTTGTCTGCAGGTTTGTCTTTTCGGTTGTGTTTGTGTCAACCTGCACTTACTATATTAAGGAGAAGATAAAAAGTGTAATGGAATTTAGAACCTAAGATAAAAGGTGTAGCTCTGTCAAACCCATTAGAACCTGTAAGATAAACAAAATAGATATACTGGTAATTCCTTGTGATAGAAATATAAGCTAATTACACAGCAAGGGTCAATAACCTGTATTGTTTCATAGATATAGATCTGGACATGTATATAATTATAAAAGATAAAACATCAATATACCACGCCTACCAGGAATTTATTATTAGACAGTTTATATTGTCTTCACAATACATCTACATCTACATCACTATTCTTATCCAACTGACACTTTGCCAAACCTCATTATTCACAAAAAATACACACAATCATCTTTTTACTTGGCCAAACCTATGGCAAGATGCAACAATGTATTCACAAATATATTCTGTTACATAATTTGTCTCATTCCTCTAATGCATTGATGATAAACACTGCATAGATGACATTATAAACAGCAAAAACCTGTTATCTGTATTCCAGTGTAGTATGGTACACAACGCATTTTACATATTTCTGACGGAGAAACATGTCAGGAAAGACGTTAATCTTGTTTTATGGAAATTAGGAAATGTTTCATGCAACAATTCATTTATGAAAATTGTGATTTGACATTCAGTGATATCAACCCCTTGTGAATAATCTAAAGCTGATGATACAGAAGCTTTGGGTCAAGAAAGAAGTCATTTTCAGATCGGTGCATAAATTTTCAGTGAAAAAATTAATTATTTAAATAAGTGCTTTACTGATCGAAACAAACTGTGTCTTGACATTCAGGGATATAAACTCCTTGTGAATAATTAATAGCTAGAAATATAATATGTACAGAGCCTTTGGGTCAGGAAGACATTTTCAGATGGGTGCATAGAGTTTAAACTTGAAGTGAAAAAAATGTCATATTTGAACAAATGTTTTGCTTTGAAACATACATGTACATGGATTATAATTAAAAGAATAAGATGTGTAGAAAAAGACGTGGGGTATATATCTACATGTATAAGTTCAGATTTTCTGTGACAAATTCACTTTTAAAATACAAGAACAGTATATATCTAAATAGTCTTTTTTTTCCCCCCGAACATCTTATTCAACTGCTCTAGTAACTGTAACTAAATATAAGCAATATGCTTCGGGCAGTATGCCTAGTTTTAGAACAAATGTCGTATTCAGTATATATACAACTTTGAATATGAAGCAAAGTCAAATAATCTTCCTTGAAGAATTTGTGTTATTGGAAGCTGTGATATTCACGTCTTTTAGTGCATTGTGATAATATGGCGGCGAGACGTGTGAAGGTGTTGGTATAATGAGTATAAACAAACCATGATGTTTAAATGTTGTGTTTATTTTTGTAGAAAACAGGATTTACGGGAGTTGAAGCTATTACAGAAACAGGAGAACAAACAGTACCAAGATTTACTCTATAAGACCCATGTTGCTCGAGATGCCCAAGAACGCAAGTTTGAAACCGAAATGCAGGTAAATAGAATATTTTTAAATTCTCCCCAATATTCTCTGACTTCCCAATTTGAGATCATGGCAGAGTGACTGATGTCCTGGAACAATGACTGATATCATGGAACAATGAGATGACATGGAATAATAACTGATGTCTTGACAGAGGGGCTGATCTACCAGTATTGAATTGTTATCTGATGTTCTTTTTAGCTCTAAAAATATAGAACAATTGAACGCAACCATCACCACAGATTAAAAGGTTTTGTATTTGACATTCAGTTGTTTAACCATTTTGTGTCTGACTATATTGATGTTATTGATATGATATTTCAAAATTTATTTTTCTAAGGAAATCAGTTAACATGCAGATATTTCAGGAATTGCGCTGTTCTCCTCTGATCATTTCACTAATCCTCTAACAACAAACATCACTCGGCATTATTGGTGGCAGACAGGTTTATAATGTTTTTCAAAATTCCAACCATCAGTTTTCTTCTAAACAGTGCATTCTGATGTTCATCGGAGGATTAGTAAAACAATCTTTGAATAAAAAGACGTGTAACGCCAGCAAATGCATACATTTCCTGTGAAAAGCTACAAACAAAGAGACTGGATGATTAAACATTAAAGCAATGATATGGACTCGCAACTTATTATTGAGCAAAAATAATGTTTTTTTCGGGAATTTGGTGGTGGGGTTTATTGCTGGTAGAATTCACTACAACCCCATACAACCTCATTAAAACTACGACAGGTCACTCCATTAACATCGAAAGAAATGTTTAAAAATAAATTCTCTGGGCAGAATAAAAAAACTAAGAAAGATAACTAGCATGGCTTTGGACAGATCGTTTTGAGAAGAAAGGTTTGAATGTTGACTGTGGCTTCATATTCTTGACTTTGACAAAATACAGAACAAACTAACAACCGATTGACACGGCATTGAATAAATAGATTAACTAGGATTAGTGGTTAAACTAAGATCCAAATCCTGCCATCATAGAGTTAATGTCTGCCAAAACTTATGATCAACACAAATCCACAAAAGCTGAAATCATCTCAGAAACTTGATTAAGATGTGGATTCACTTGGCTTTCTCTTCCCCTAATGGAACTTCTAAAAATACATGCATTTACCCAAACGCCAAAGCTGGTTTAATTCTGTCACGTAGAAGTTGATCAAACTAAATTCCTTGTCTACACATTTCTACAAACCACCATACTTCCATCACAAGAAACCTTTGTTGATGCTGGTTCATATTGTTGTCTTTAATGTCAACACACAAAGGTGTTTTTCTTTGTATCAAGAATGAGAGATGGAACAAGCACCTGTTGGTTAAAAAAAATTGTCAAAAATAAAAGAAGGTCCAGAAAGCATTGCTTGAATCAATAGTGTGGTTCTCATCTAGAATCTGTTTGGCTTTTAGAAGGGGTGGATTAAGCTTTCTGATCCTAATTTTGAAAGGGTGGATTAATCGTTTCATTTTCAATTATCTGATGTCAAAGAGTTTATGTACTTGTAACCTTTAAAGTAGCAATGAGTCCATGTAAGTCAAAACAATTTGTTGTCATTAATTAGCCTTTTATTTTACCAACTGTTGAATGGACATAATAATTTAGAAATTTTAACAGTTTAAGCAGTGGTATTATTTATCTCTCGATAATATCACTTATTGTAAACAGTATTTTCATTGCCAACTTATTTACTAGATACAAGAAATGTTGGTATATGTAGAAGTTTATAAGTTTGTTGATGGCCATAATACATGTATGGATAAGTTTTACCTCCATGCAAAAAACTGGACATAGTTAGTTTTTAAAAAATAATAACATTATTGCTACCGGTACTTTAAATCTTTTATGGGGGGTGGGGGTGGCCGAATGGTTAGTACATGCGCGCTGTATCATAAAGTCTGTGATTGAGTCAACGGGCGTGGGTTCGAATCCCCGTTTGTACGTGAGAAGGAGTAGGGTCGCCTGTCCAACCTCGTGGGTTTTCTCCGGGTCCTCCGGTTTCCTCCCACTGCTAAAGACCCTTACGCGCAAGCGAATTATTGAAATAAAATTGAACCATTGTTAGTCCCGAAATGACCTAGTTTCTCTCTCTCTTTAATTTTTTATGGACATACTGATTCGATATCATGAATTTCTTTTTAAAAGTTTATTGGATGTTATGGATCATTGTGTAGTTTGGACCTTTTTTATAAGCCCACCTGTCTGTCTGTCTGTCTGTCTGTCTTAGATAATTGCTTCTTGACACAAGAAAGGCTAAATCATCTGATCAACTTGAAAATTATGTTCATTAGACAAAGAATCTTAATGGCTATGAACCTTGGTCACTTTGTTTATCTTCATGAGATGAAGGCCTATTAATTTCTGATCATTGTCCGAGTTATTGGTAGCTTATGTTTTGTTGCCTGGCATCACGTAGAGTATGCATTTTATGTTATGTCATCATATATAATTTGGTTTCTGGATATATTTTCAGCAAATGGTTAAGAGTTATGACCAAGATATGGAAACTCTTACAAAACAGCAGAAACAACAAGTGGAAAAAGCTGAACTCTCACAACAGCAAGACATGAAAAATGCTGCCAGGAAAATCAAAAGTGAACAGGTGGGTAGATACATTGTAAAATTCTTTTAAAAAAGATTAAAAAAACCAGAGATAAAGAAGGATAGACCTACATCATATTCTAACCTGGTCACAAACCATAAGATTTTAAAAAGAAAGTCATCCCGCCAATGGTGGTCTGAAAATATAAATCATGTCCTTCCTTATATGGGAGGTTGGATAGCCGAATGGTTTCGATTCCCTGGATGTTCGTGACAAGGAGTGGGGTCGCCTCTCCAAACTCGTGGGTTTTCTCCAGATCATCCGGTTTCCTCCCACTGCTAAAGACACCTATACGCAAGTGAATTATTGAAATATAATAGAACCATATGCTAGTCCCTAAATTACCTAGTTTGTGTTAAGTGGATATCTCTATTTCTCTCTCTCCCTTATATGTAATAACTTGAATAATTCATATGAAAGAAAGGAAATGGAGATTGTTTCATTACACACATAAAAAACAACCCCTGAGGGTTTTCGATATTTGAATGATGGCAGACAGTTCATTATTAAACAAGGCTTACATACATATCATTATTTGAGCAACAGTGACCAAAGATGCTTATCCAATAGGAGACTTCTGATCTGCCTTCTAAAGATTATAGAAATAGAATGTAAATTAAGACTTGGTGACTCTATTGGATGTCTTAGATCTAATTGACACCTTGGAGCCGTTTCTGTATAATTAGTAGAATCAGTGTATTCTCTGGTGGTTTATTCTATTGATCTTTTTATATCTAATTGACACAGTATAATTCTTAGCACTAACAATCATAGTATTACTTTAATTATATAAATCTATACTCCCTCTTGCTCATGGGGGTTTAGGTAGTCTAGTGGTTAAACGTGTGCATGTGAAACCGTAAGGTCTGTCATTGAGTCAAGTGGCGTGGTTTTGATTCCCCGCTTGTATGTGACAAAGAGTAGTCTCCTGTCCAACCTCTTGGATTTTCTCTGGGTCCTTCGGTTTCCTCCCATTACTGAAGACTTCTACGTGCAGGCAAATTATTGAATTAAAATTGAACCATATGTTAATCCCGAAATGACCTAGTTTGTGTCAAGTGGATGCTACAATATCTCTCTCTCTCTCTCTCTCTCTCCCTGGTTGCTCATATTTATCTTGGGGGCTCAGCAAGGATTTCCCCAAAATTTCTTCTATTCATTCATTCTATGAAAATAGATATTTCTTTGTTCTGATCATAGTCAGAATTCTGGGGTATAAATTTAAATTTGTTTTATTAGACCAGTAAATTTAAATACACAATAAATTCCATAAAGTACTATGCTTACTTTTTTGATATTTTATTTTTTACTAAAAAAATTATGATTGGAAGGTTTATTTAACAATATTTTTATTTATTTAAGTCTATTGTCATATATCTTCAATGCTTAATGACCACACTATATTATACATAACTTTAAATACACCATTATAACACGTAATCACTTTGGATGGACAGAAGACAACTGCATGCTTTACCATGACAACAGAAGTCAAGGACTGCTCACCCAAATTTGTGTTTTAAACTGGCGCTTAGAATTTGATTCCAAGTAGGATTCTAAACCCCATTTCATTTCATTCAATATCGAGTCCAAGTCTGATTATGCAGCTAAAGCTAAAGTTATTCAAATATGTTTTTTTTATTTTTCAGGAAAGAGAAACAAAGATGTTTAAAGAACAGCAGAAGCAAGAACTGAAATTATTTAAACATGAATTAGACATGCTGCCGAAAGACACAAAGAAAGAAGTGATTAAAAAACGTAGAGAGGCTAAAGAAATAGAACTTACAGACAAGGTATGGTTTGTTTGTTTGTTGACAAACTGAAAAATCCATGTCTTAACAGATTGCATTATGTACAACCTTTTTCATTCATAGACAAGTATTAAAAAGATATTAGAATATTTATTTTATTTTGTTTGATCATGTTAACCACAATATATTAGAGAACAATGGGATTTAAAAAGTCTGAAACTTACAAAAATTGTTTCTGATCATTGCACTCAATGGCCTTTCTTGTTAGATTATTTGTATTTGTTTCAAAGAGTGAATTATTATTATAAAGTCGACCCAAAGTTGAAATATTTGTCGACTGGAATCTTCCTGTTTAATCAACTTTTCAATGTTTGTTTTTGGAGAAAAGTCATTACATACATGCGATTTTTAAAAAAATCTTAAATATTTGTTAAATATCTGCCAATAGGCGTTGAACAAATTTTTCTTGTTTCATAATCATTAAAACATGTCTACTTCCTAAGAAAGGTACATTTTAAAATGTCAAAAGTTTGTATAGACAATACATGCATCCTGTTTGATAAAAACTAAAAGCTTTTTAGATTTTGATGATGTAATCTAATGTATTTTTGTTTTCTGTTCAGGAAAGAAATTTCTTAGAGAATCAACAGGAAAGAATGGATAAGCATATGAAACAGTTAGCTGATCAACATAGACAGAAGATAGCCTTGTTAGAAAGTCAGTTCTTACAACAAAAACAACAATTACTTCGAGGTAAATAAAACTCTCAATAAAATGGGTATAATGATGGTACTGTCTGGTTTTAATATTCCTTTTCTAGTTAACAGTTAACCTCAAAATAACCTATGTGACAAGGAGTAGGGTCGCTTGTTTGTCCTACCTCGTGGGTTTTCTCCGGGTTCTCTTGTTTCCTCCCACCGCTAAAGACCATTACACGCAAGCAAATTAATGAAGTAAAAATGAACCATGTGTGTATGTTAGTCCCAAAATGACCTAGTTTATGTCACATGGATGTTAGACTCTCTCTCTCTCTCTCTCTCTCTCTCTCTGTCTCTCTGAATAGTTTGTTGATGAGATATTGTTCTTTTTGACTCGGTTTGAATTTAAAAGAAGGCCTCAAGTGAAATCATGTTGCACATAACCAACCACTAGTTTTCCTTAAACCTTTATGTGGAGCCACAGTTTCTCAGTGAGTAAGACACCGGCTGCTAACCAGGACTTCTCATGCTTGCTCCCAGTGCTGGTCGACAAAGTTTCTCAGAATGTTTCTGTGCATTTTTCCCTTGTCAGATTGGATGAAAAACCAAGGTCTTGTGTACACATTGATGTGCACGTAAAAGGAACCCTGGACAGTTGGAATTCAAAATAAATGCTGCTGTCCAGACAAAATTTCACTCATCCATAGCATACTGTATGGCATAAGCCTGTCTTCATTAGCCCATTCGATGCAGAAAAGTAGGACGTTAAACCCCATTTCATTTCATTTTCACCTTTCTTGAAAAATCAGTATGACTTGGCTAATCTCAGAATGACTTGTATTGATGTAATGTTAAACATTATGGCTTTCAGTTCATTGGCTGTATCAATGATTTATGGTGTCTGGACTGGTGATTCCTCTTATAACCTTGTTAGTCTTAAAATTGTCTAACATTATTTATTTATTTATTACATGTGACATAGACTCGATTAATCTTATCAGATAGAAATTCTTAATGCTCAATCGTCTCAAATATTTTTTAAATATAAAGTTGAAGACCTTGCACAATCAAAATACATTTTGTCGATAAGTTTTTGGAACCTATGTTATGGCCATTTAAAGTTTACATTACCTGCTATTGATTTTAAGGGGGTTTTACCTGGTTTGTGTCAAGTGGATGTTAAACCCCATTTCTCTCTTTCTCTCTAATGATTTTTTGATTCCATCTTTCTTTGTCTAAGACATATAAAGTAATAATAATGCTGCTATTTAAGGAGATTTTTTTATGCAATAACAACAGTCCTTACATTAAGATGCTATATATTTTTGATGTTTATGATTTATGTGAACAATATTGCCTGTTGTGCCTTTTGTATGGCCGAATGGTTAACGTTTGCGTGCTGCATCATAAGGTCTGTGATTGAGTCAGCTGGTGTGCTTTCGATTCCCCGGTTGTACGTGACAAACAGTAGGGGTCACCTGTCCAACCTTGTGGGTTTTCTTCGATTCCTTCGGTTTCCACCCACTGCTAAAGACCCCTATGTGCAAGCGAATTATTGAAATAAAATTGAACCATATGTTAGTCCTGAAATGACATAGTTTGCGTCGAGTGGACGTTAAACCCCATTTCTCTCTCTCTTGTATATTTTAACAATAATATATTATATTTTATATCTTTCAGCAAGAGAAGCTGCTCTATGGGAGTTAGAAAAGGAGCAACTTCATGAAAAAAATCAATTAAACAAAGGTCAACTCAAGGACATGTTCTTCTTAAAGAGACACCAGATGTTAACACGTCATCAAAAGGTAGGATTATCCCTTTAAACTTCCATTTCTTATCCTGATAAAAATAGGATGTTACATGTTTGGTTGAAGCAGGTGTAGGGAATCTATTAATATATCTTGTTATTGTTAAAGCATGTGTTCAAATTCCACTGATTGGATCTCAGAATAAATTTGACTGTCTGCTTCTTAAATAGTTTTTTGGGTACTGAACTATAACAAATTTTAAGTATGATTTCTGTATTTGAATTTATTTATTTAAGTTACTTAAATAAATTTGTTATAAAGTAAAATCATACTATGAAATTATTTAGTTCTATCCCTCTGAACTGTGTACAGTAACTGTATCCCTACCTTGTTTGTAAATGCTAAAATCTGTTGGTTAGGTTGGGTTTAGGGTTAGAGAATATTAAGATCTGTCAAGTCTTAGAATACTAGTAATGTATCACCAGGTAAATTGAGACTGAATGTAATAGTACAATTGTAATCAATCTTAATAGTGACTTGAATTTTTGAGCTGACTTTTGAATACTGACACAACAGGAGTCAGACCTGACTTTAGAATCGACAAAATGTTCAAGGTTTATAAGATGGATTCAAAATGAACTTTGTTTTTACATTCACACTTGAATATCATGTTTCATGAATGGATCCCCATGACCTCATAATGAAAAAGAGTTGAGCAGTAATAATTCATATCCATATATCATTAGTCTGTATAGTTCACAACATTGGTTATTGCCATTCTCTTTTATCTCTGTAATGAATAATGGCACCATTTGACAGTTGGGGATCACGTGGCTAAGTGGGTAAGACGCTAGCTCGCTAGCCTGGAGGTCGGGTGTTCGATCCCTGCATTGGCCGAGAAAGTTCATCCAGATTTTCCGGCTTGGTTCTCCCTTGTCAGTGATGCAGGATGGAGGGGCTGACAAGGAAAGCTGTCTAGTCGTTCAGATGGGATGAAAAACCGAGGTCCCGTGTACCCATTGGCGTGCACGTAAAAGATCCCTTGGCAGTTGGAATTCTATATAAGAGTAGGCCGTAGTGCCGCTGTCTGGGCAAAATTTCCCTCATAGCACACTGTATGGCGTATGTCCGTCTTCATTAGCCCAGGTTAGGAGCAGAACAGTAGGACGTTAAACCCCATTTCATTTCATTTCATTTTCATTTCATTTGACAGTCTGACCCAATCGAGTCAGACATTTTCAGTTCTGTCAAAGCACATCAGTAGCTTTAGAGGAAAGATTGGCCAACGAATTGAGCTAAGAACTTGATTTGTCAATTATGTTCACTTTTAGTTGATTTATCATTGAATTAAAACTGCTCAACCCTATGATAATTATTGTAATTTGTTCATGCATATAAAAAGAGTATATATATGTTCTAGTTTAATTAGTTATTACATCCTGGATATTGGGAATTGGTCATTTTATGGTCAATGATCGACATTTGGAGCCCTAGATAACTATAGTATTTTGCAAATTGAATCTCAAAAAGGAATATTTCTCAGTCCCAAAATTGTTCTGTTCTGAAAAGAACGAAATAAACAAGCCAGCATCACATATAAATGTTAAGCAAAATCTTTTGATGTGGCTCCTTTTTAATCTGGGGGGTTGGATGGCCGAATGGTAAGCAGTTGCGTGCTGTATCATAAGGCCTGTCATGGAGTCAACTGGCGTGGTTTCGAATTTCCGGTTGTACATGACAAGGAGTAGGGTTGCCTGTCCAACCTCGTGGGTTTTCTCTGGGTCCTCAGGTTTCCTTCCACTGCTAAAGACCCCTAAGCGCAAGCGAAATATTGAAATAGAATTAGACCATACTTTAGTCCCGAAATGACCTAGTCCTTGTCGAGTGGACGTTAAACTCACTCTCTTTCTCTCCCTTTTTAATCGGGATTAAAGCATAAAAATTTAGTTTTTTTCCTAATAATACAAATGTCAATCAGTGGCTTTAATGTGTGAAATGTAATGTCCTAGTAAAGCATGTATTTCAAGCTATCCTGAAAAGCTGAAAGAGTTATATAACTGTTAAAATATCTACTGCCTCATTTTGTGATGTTGATTATTTTCCTGGTTTTGTTTTGGGTTTTTGTTTGCTATCGTATTTCATGTCTAATCCATTTTCTTTTTCTTTTCATTCTAACTGTATTTTATGCTTTTATTTCATATCATTATTTCTCCTCTTGTTGCTACTAATATTAAATGATGCATGTCACATGATGGCTGTGTAAGGTAAGTAGAACCTCGTCCCTACCATGATAGGACCAAAGGTAAAAGAATAGGTTGGATAGACCATAGGTAACAGTTTAAACTAGAAGTGCTGTTGTAGGATCAAATGATTACATGGTTAAACAGAGGTCATGAAAATGTCAAGATCTAGAAGCCAAATAAAATATTGTAAAGTTCCTGACAAACACTAAAATATTCAATCTATCTTGCCTGTTCTATTCCACTAATTACTGAATAATAAAAAACAGAAGAATTGTGGCCAGATGGTCTGCCTAACCTTGTGGGTTTACTCTGGGTCCTCCTGTTTCCTTTCACTGCTAAAGATCACTGGGGGGTTGGATGGCCAAAGGGTTAGCGTGTGTGTGCTGTATCATAAGGTCTGTCATTGAGTCAACTGGTGTCGTTTTGATTCCCCGGTTGTATGTGACAAGGAGTAGGGTCACCTGTCCAACCTTGTGGGTTTTCTCCGGGTCCTCCGGTCTTCTCTCACCGCTAAAGACCCTACATGCAAACAAATTATTGAAATAAAATTGAACCATATTTGCACACGAATGATGGAAAATAAATTGAACCATATGTTATAATATGTTTATCCTGAAATTACCTAGTTTGTGTTAAGTGGAAGTTTAACTTCAGTTTTCATTCTTTCTCAGAAAAAAATCTATACATAAGTAAAATTGCTAGCTGAAAAGGAATTGGAAGTCTTAACACATGATGATCATTAACTTATTTGGCTGTGTATACACGTTAGAGAAGATGTGACCGAAGATAAACTGTAATAATATTAACAAGAAACGTGTTATAATTACTATAAAAATTGGGTTATATCTACTCTACATCTAATAACAACTGTAATATCTTTTTATACTGTTAATTACTTGTGTATCTGTTAAATCATCCAAAACACTTTGCTGCCAATAATAACAATAAGAAGTAACTAACTTATATATTGTATTACTGTTAATAAAAAATAACCCTTACAAATGAAATAATCCCTTAGCATCAATATTACAAGCGCTATTGTAGGGATTTTACATGCCTATCTTGCAGTTTTATTTTTTTTTAAAACTTGATATTAAATTTAATTTTTTTGTTTACATTTATTATTAGATCTACAATTAGATTAGTTATATCAATTCAACTGACCCGAAACATAGTCAACAAAAAATTGAATTGTTGCTTCCTGTGTTTTTTCACAAAATTCTTTCAACTGATAAATAGCTTACTGATAAAATTGTCTACTCAAAAAAAAAAAAAAAATAGGTTCAAATTAGATTAAAACCACTATGAATATTTTCTTTGAGTGGAATAGAGGGTTTGTGATTATAAAATAGTTCTATTTCCGTTTTCATAAACTGTTGAAAAATGTCTAAAGAGGTAAGTATTTATAAGCTTTTTTCACTCTTCAGTATTTCCCTTAAACCCTTCATCATTTCCTGGAATCTGTTATTATTAAAAATATGGTATCCTTATCTTGTTTCATTTATAATATCATCGAGGTAAGATTAAACAGCTGCTCTTATCAGTGCTACATGCCGTTGTTTGTTTGTAAATAATGTGTTTATTGCTGTAAATTCCAATCAAAAATTCTCTTATCATTGATCATTGATTGAAATTCATTCATTCATTTTTATGGTTTATCCATATAGCACCCCATCATTATATTAACTCATTTATATGGTTCATCCATAGCACAGCATCATAATATTAACTCATTTAATATGGTTCATCCATAGCACCCATTCATAGTATTAACTCATTTATTCATTTTCATCTGCACCAAATCAGACATTAAAAATATAATCTGTGCCATTTAATAGTTATTTCAGAGATTCATATTTTTAATCTGTAATATTTAAATAACTGCTCATTTAACCGATCTATACTAATTCTTACTCAACAAGCTTTTGTTTTAAAAGATATGCTATATTTTGACTACCGGCATATTTTCTGTTGAGCATATGTATCACAACTGGTTAACTGTAAAATGTTACAAGTGTGACAGTTCACCAACTTTCAAAATCTCTTCCTTTTTTATTGGTTTTAAAAAAAGAAGCTGTTGAAAATCTGGTGTGTATATTTAAGCCGTAGAAATCCTATAGAGCCTCTCGTGTCTGGAGGAAGTCATTGATACATCCTTCCCTCCTTGTGTTCTTTACGGAATTAGATCGAATGTGTAAGATTTGTTCTATTGATATTTACAGGAAATAGACCAGATGAAGCGCTATAATAGCATGAAGGAAGAAGAAATGCTGAATAAACATCACTTGGAGAAAAAACGCTTGCCAAAAATATTACGAAATGAGGCAAAGACGCGAGCTCAGATGTTTAAACAGAGTTTAAGATTAAGTGTTATAGGAACACCTGAAGATGATAAAATGAAAATCAAACAGGTAAAATATACACAGAGATATATATTAGGTGAAGATGACATAAGTGGGATTTCTACACAAAACCTCGAACTTCCATCTAGAGCTGACATCAAAATCATTTCGCTTTCAGTGGTTTGGGTGGCTGATTGGTTAGCGTGTGTGGATTTTGTCATTAGGTCTGTCATTGAGTCAACTGGCGTTGTTTCGATTTCCCGGTTGTACCTGACAAGAAGTAGGGTTGCCTGTCCAACCTCGTGGGTTTTCTTTGGGTCCTCAGGTTTTCTCCCACTGCTAAAGACCCCTAGGTCTGTCATTGAGTCAACTGGTGTGGTTTCGATTCCCCAGTTGTATGTGACAAGCAGTAGGGTCGCCTGTCCAACCTCTTGGGTTTTCTCTGGGTCCTCCGCCCACTGCTAAAGACCGCTACATGCAAACAAATTATTGAAATAAAATTGAACCATATGTTAGTCCCCAAATGACCTAGTTCACTTTCTTGGTAATATAAAAAAAATCTACTTCGGCTGTTACCAGAGTATTTGAATATTTGGTTTTCTTGTTTATTCCCATGACAGTGGAAACATGCTAGACTGAAAGTCAAATATAGAGTATAAAACTGTACCTAGTCATGCAGCAGAATATATTGAGATATTTGATAAGTATGTAACTTGACTTTTAAGATATTTGGGAGCCGTGGTGGTGCAATGAGTAAGGTGCTGGCACGCTAATCTGAATTTCCTACGTTCAATCCAGGTGTTGCAGCAAAAGTTCCTTAAAATTTTTCTGACGTGGTTCCCACTTGCCAGGAATGCAGAACGGTGGTCCTGGCCAGGACCGTGCCCGACCATTCGGATGGAACAAAAAAACGAGGTCCTGTGTACATGTTGACATACAAATAAAAGAACCCCTGACAGTTGGAGTTCAGTTGTTGTCCGGGCAAAATATCTTTCATGGCATTTGCTTGTCTTCATAAGCCCCGATAGGTGTAGAAAAGTAGGACATTGAACCCCATTTCATTCATTCATTCAAGATATTTGGCTATCACGATATTCATTAACATCTGATGCTTTGCTCTTTTAAAAAAATTTAACTTTTTTATTTCTAGTTCGAAGAAAATGAGAAGAAAAGAATCAAGGCTGAACAACAGAGACAAGACATGAAACATAAAAAACAGTGGGACGAATTGGTATTTAGAAATGAAAATTCTCAAAGAGAACTAGAACAGCTACAGGTATACCTTATCTTAAAATTGTAGTACTTTATTATGAATGCTGTTCTATAAGCATAGAACAATTGGATGTACATATATAGACCGTAATTGCACATACCAAGTCTATACAGGTAAAATGTATAAACATTGGCCATATCAAGGCTAAGTAGATATTTCAGAATGTTATATCTCATATATGCTAGAGATTGTTTGAATAATTTCTATTTGAATTCAAATTTATTTTTGATAGTATTTAAAATTAGTTCAGCATAGAATTAAACCAGTAGTCAGAAACACTTTAAATGACTAAAATATTTTCTATTCAGGCTGAAAAACGTAAAATGTTAATGGAACAGGAAACAGCCAAGATAAAAGAAATAGAAGATGGCTACCAACATGAACTCCGAGAATGGAAGAGTCAGTTAGTTCCACGAAAACAGGTAGGCAGAACTAAGTTGTAGTCCGGAAGACATTATAATTCTCGGAGTTTGAAAAAAAGCACCAGGGATTCATAGAAAAGATTTGATAAAGTTAGAACAGATCTTTTTCATGTATGATCCAAAAGTGTACTGACATTGTTTGTTACTTTTACAGATCTGTTTGATCCACTGTTTAATTACAAATGGCTGTTGTTCACAGATCTTTAATCCAGGGACTGGTGCCAAAGCACTACTCATCTTCTTCTTCTTCTTGGTAGCTTTGATCTTGGAAAAAAACTCTTAAGGCTCCGCTAATTCATGTTCAGCTAATTCATGTTCGATCAACATGAAACATAACATGCTTGTTCCTCAGACAATTGCTCATCAATTAGTTTTTGATATAACTTCGCAATTCCAAGATGGCTGCGATAACATCATGCTTGACTCCTGGTCCTCAAAGCTAATCTAACTTGATTTTATTTTTTTATTTTACAGGATTTAGAAGATAAATTTGCTAAACAGAGAGAAGAGCAAGAAAAATTTTACGGTTCCATGTCAAGTGATGGGGAGTCTTCCCTTCCCTATCCTCGTTCTTTACAAGGTACAACACGAAGTAAAGAAGATTCAATAAAATCACGTCACTCTACAGTTATATAATAATATTAACATTGTTTGCTCTCGTGTATATAGACTAAAAATACGACATAACATTGTTCATGTTTCTCACACTGGAATATTGAAATTATCACGGATGGACAAAAATGGACTTAGTCGTCTGACAAAGTGTGTTTAGAGATAAGTTTACTGGGTGTCGTTCACAATTCTTTTCCATAAATAGACAGATAATTTATGTGATTTTAACAGTTTGATTGTGATTTTAAGTCCGGCAAATGTTCCAGATTGCAGAATCAAATTGGACCTTTCGTAAACAGAATGTAGAGTGATGTGCTATTTTTACAAAGGGAGGCAACTCTTATAGAGGATGTGAGATGAATTTTGCTTTTGTAAGCAGTATTGTGTAAAGCTATGATGAGTGAATAGTTTTATATATATAAAATATATATATAGGACAATGATTGTGAGTGATGAATGTAATCATGCTCCAAGACTATCAAACATTCTTCTGCCAAAATAAGAAATTTTCTTACAAGACAGTGTCATAATTATTTTAAAATTTGCCTGAAAAGGTATATTGTGCAAATTGTTTTAGGTATCACTGGCCCACATTCTCCTGAACTGTGAAATGTTTTACAATTTCAAACTATTATGTAACCTTGTAATAAGAAAGGGGATCTTTAGAGATTATTTGGGGTGGTCTAATAAATGGATATTGAAAGATATAAGAATAAAGAAATATTTATTAATTGAGGATGTGGGTTTTGGAGTTGAGTAAATTGTTTAATTTTGCATCAGAATTGTTTGTGTCTTTGGAGCTTGAATTAAAAAAATATATATATATAATTATAAGATATATTATATTAAATATATGTGTATAAATACATAAGATTAAACCCAAGCATAAAATAAGTAATGTTTTGTATAGTAATATGTTCCAGGATATATGAATAAAGGTGCTGATCATATCTCTTATTATCTGTGTATAAAACATAGGTAGTTTATATGTAATCACCTTTATTAGATATCAATATTCACTGCTGATTGTTAAGCAGGCTTTGGATCAGTTTCTTGGAGAATCGCATCCCAAAATATATTTTTGTGAATGGGGGGGGGGGCATTGATCGCTCTTAGATATGAAAACTCAAGCAGAATTATATTGTTTTCCTAAAGATGACATAAGGTGTTTAGGTCTTTATAGCAAGAATTTATGATCGATAATAAAGCTGATTACATATAATTTAGAAATGATTTTATTTTGTATTTCTGTATTTTAGATACAATTGTGTTTCTTTCTTATGATGAATTTAGTTGCTTCTCAGACATTTTATTTCATTTTCTAGAAAACAAGATTCTGGTATGGTATGATATATCTGAAAAAAACAAATAATAAATCAAAAAATAGTTTTAAAACTTTCTCAAGATCTCTTAAGTTAAATTTGTTGGATATGCGATTGCAGTCCACAAATAGATTCATGTTTTTTATTTTGTTGGATACATGCAATTGAAAACAAAAAGATTAATTAATTATTCTTATGTTGTTGGATATGCGATTCCAGTCTACAAAAAGATTATTTATATGTTGTTGGATATGCGATTGCAGTCTACAAAAAGATTAATTAAATATTCTTATTTTGTTGGATATGTGATTGCAGTCTACAAAAAGATTAATTATTTCTGTTTCTCGGAGATAACTCTTTATTATATGAACTAATTGGAACATACGTTGAAGCATTATATTATAATTCTAGTTAGCTTGAAAACCGTTAATATACTCCTCGAAATATATTTCTGTTTACTGTGATAACAGCCGTACATATTAATGCATTTTAAACTATATAGTTATATTAAGCTTATTGTATATTAGGCCATAGTTTATTTATCTCTGTATTTCGTTCCTATTTTTTTTTTGTTTTATATGGCTAATTTCTACCACATTCTTCTTTTATTGATTGATAATTAATTTTGTTCTTCCTATTTGTTAAGAATAATATATATGAAACACATTTCTTATGAATGATTGTTAGTTGGTTGGAAGGAAAGTGTTTGCACATTTCTTAAGGGGATTATTAACTAGAAGCATGATTTGCTATGAGATAAGGTTGCTTTCTGTATAACAATACAAGTTTTGATAATGGAAGGGAAGTGTATTATAGTGAAAATCTTGTGTGTTTGGTTGGTCTAAAATGCTCTTTTTCTTACCGGTCGTTTAGATTAGGTACTGAATGATGATATCCCCAACCCTGCGAGTTTTCACAATGGACATCAACACCTGTGTTATAGTGAAGATCTAGTGTATTTTATAAAATGCTCTTTCTGCCCTCCTGTCATTTAGTTTCGGAATGATTGAGTCCCTAACCCTAACCCTGGAATTTCATTGTTCCAGAGTCCAGAGGGGATGGAAGGCACACAGTGGAGGGCAGGAAGCCTGTTTACAACCTTGTCTTGATGCTTTATAAAGGCATTCAATTCCTCCATGATGTGCAAACAAACTGAGCAAGTTTTATAAGATATAAATGTGTAGATCATGTATATATATAATAAATGGTTGTAATTGTATTTAATGTTTAATATATCATATATTGTATATGACAGGGTTTTCACAGCCAGGTAAACTTATCCTATTTGAAATTGTTGCTGTGTTATTTTGGGGATAATTTATGAAGCCTATGTAAATTATTAGGAAATAATAATTAATATATAGATCCAGTTGAAACATATGACCAGTGAAGGTTGAAATATTATTATAATTAACCTCATGATCTAGACATTTTGATTCTCGATCTGTCTAATTAGCCATAGTATTAACATTAAGTGAAAGAATTTGCGACAATCGACTTGCATACTTTCTAGTTTTTTACTAGAATGTTTTTTGAAAATAAATACATGTCGATTAGAGGTTTAGTTCTTTTTATTAAGAGAGGAAATCTACTTAAGGTATTAATAAGGACAATTCAACTTAATCTTAAAGTAGGCCATTTTTGTGATCATTAGAGGTGAACCTGGAATGTTTCTATGCATTAGAAAGTGCTGCTAGACATTCTTCTTTTGTCTTTCGACATCTACACAATTAATACAAGTATAGATAGCTCTACATAGGTTAGTTGTATTAATCTATTCATTTTAGAGCTATTCTATGTAATGTAAAATATTTTCTTTAATATCAGTTTTTACTGGGGGGTGCAATGATACAAGTACAATATTAATATGTAGAATTCTTAACAGAAGGTTCGATCACCTCAGCCCAAATAAGGGCAGTTGTAAACTATAATTATAGTAAGGCAGTTTAGGAGCAGATTTTATATGGATGTGAATGTTCTGGAATATTTGCATCAACTTGCTAAGCTGCTTAACTGTGATTGCCTTAAAAGGATAAAAAGGATTGATTTTGGGTTTGATTATCTTGTGTAATAAATCCTTAAATGTTTGCACTGGTTTGCAGATTGCCTGGAATGTCTTTTCGATTATTTTCGTGTTTAGAATATAAATAATGAATAGCTAAAAAGATATTTACTAGATGTTTTTGTATCATTGCACTTCTGATCTTTAATATTCGTGTGAATAATCAAATTGTTTTTCCAATGTTGTACATTTTTCTTTCACAGATAATTGAATTGTAATAATATGAAAGTAATATCAGGGCCAATTACCTAGTTTTAGAAGGCGTTTTTTTTTTTTTTTGAAGGCCTATTTGTATATATTTGGCAAGTTTCCATGTGTGGAAATACACTAACTATATAGTATATTAAAGTGTATAAATTTATACATCAAATTTTGTCCTGTTTTCATTGTTAATGATAAAATAGATTCTGCCTTGTTGTCTGGGTGGAGCCAGATTAAGCTTGCATTGGGGCCCTGGCTTAAAATATACCGGATTCCTTGCATTAACAGTAAAAAGGGGCATATTCAGGTGCATGGACCCTGGTTGCCTTTCAGTAGCTGCAGACATTTTATGTCCCCCTTGTTAAACTCTAATCGTAACATGACATATACTGGTATTTATCAAGCCCGTAAACTTTAATCCAGCCCTAAGTCAAGGACAATATAGCCAACGAATTCCTCTCAAACATACCAACCCATATTACTGAGAGTACCTGGAACAAAATCAGGATCTTCTGGTCCCAAAAAGGACCTTAGTTTGAGTACTAAGCAACCATGACTAGTTCTAGTTATTGCGCCTTAGTGGAGTTTAAGGGGGCGAATCAGTATCTACTTGTAAAAAAGCTTTGTGTAAACACTTGCCCTGTGACACCCTCAAAATCGGGAGAAAGCAGGATATGGCTAAAATATATCTGGCCCCTAAGCGGAAGAGCTAAATCTGCAATATTATAATTCAGGGGAGGGATTGGTGAGGTCAAAGCCAAAGTCTAAAATTGGCACGGGAATGTAAACCACGGGTTGATACCCTGGATCGTGGACACCTCATTCCAGCATTGGTTAACCTTATTGTGAGCTGTGGAGAAAAGCTCATTGGTTAGTGTTAACAAAGCTAAAAGCATTTTCCGTAATATACTATTTATGAATAAAAGACATCAACAAAGAGGTGACCATTTGGAATAGACAGCCATAATATACGCGTAGTAACTGAATAGAAATAAACATTAGATGAACCCCACATGATCACATCCTGCCAAGAATTAACTGATGTTAGATTTTTCCCATTTATATACTGAACCATTCCTGGAACTCCTGAAAATGAAATAAAACAAGTTATAACGTATTGTCTCGAAAATATGCATACAGCCTTTTGAGGTTGCCGCCTTGCATAACATTGCTAAGGGCAGAAAAGAGAGCCACAGCATTAACTTATTTTATATTGATGGTTTCAATGAAAATAACAAAAAACTTTGATACAGTGGTATATTAGAAATACAATAGTCACGCTCTCTCACAAGCACCCCTTTCGTCTAGCTGAGCAATCCCAAACGTCTGATCTGTTCAGGTTTACAAGAATTGTAAAAGGACGACAGGGGTAACATAGAATAAAATGAATTATATTATGTGAATGAACTGGGTTTTACGCCAGTTTTCGGAATGTGAATAATTAGAAAGCTACATGTATCTTAACAATTCCAGTGATAAAAATTCGGCTATCTTTTATTGTCAAATTGAGCTATATTAGGGAAACATTTTATAGCCTTTATAAATGAAACAAATAAATTGTTTTATAAAGGTATTAATTAAAAGTGATTGTACCAGGTGGGTTGATGGCTATTTGTCCAACAACTTGTGTGTAGTTACCAGAAGTTACAGCACTTTCTATTTTTATACCACCATTACCTACAAAACATTAACCAGATTATAAAATAATAAATATATCTCTTCTGGTTCGTGAAGAAATACTCCGTGGACAGGAATATATCATACGGTACCCTCCCATTTCGCCTACGTCCCATTTCGACTACAGCTTATAACAACAGATTAATTTACATAGAAATTGTATAAAATATGTAACAAAACAAGATCGTTCGCACTTCTAAATATTTCAAATTATGTCAATGAATCTATAGAGGTTAGGATGACAGTGTGGTATGGTTTTATACATTCTTGAGTGGAAACCTACTAGGTTGTTATTTTTCCTGGGTCCAACAGTCTCAAAATTTTTCCATAAACAAACAGGAAATTTGGCGTCGTAATCTACCCATGTATTGGTAACGTAATCATTGAAATTCATCGGTGTTGGTGATGTTTGGAGTTTCCTCTATTGTTGATATTTGATATAAAGGAATTCTAATAAGATAACAAAAATTTTGACTGAATGATAGTGAACTTGAAAAATAAATGTACAAAATTTGAAAAAATTCCTCTTATAAAGATAAGCAAATATTAAACTCATTGTAATCTCCAAATATTACAAATATTCAAAACAAAAATGTACTCTGAGTTGATATTTTTTCTTTGATGTTAAAGAAAACAAGCTATAATATATAATGGATAAGCTATTTTAACAATTATCATTACCTTAATTACATCTTTTAATCGGCGGAGCAGTTCATTGCTGGTTAGTTGGGGGGGGGGGGGAGCAGGATTTTAAGAGTAATAAAATTTGTAGTCGAAATGGTACGTAGTCGAAATGGGAGTGAACCTATCATACATAGTTGAGGTACGATTAAAAGCTCGATGGGCCAGAAGACTAATAGTAATAATCAGTTTCCGTATTTATTTAACAAGCCAACAATGAGGCTAACGCCCCCTCCCCCACCTCAATCCAAAAACAAAATAGATGACATATATTGATGAATTGTACATTTATGTTTTTGTTACATATCGGACAATCAAACTTGGCTTAAATAGAAAATGCTTATGATTGAACTTAGTCAATGTTTTGATGCAAGGACACTACACACCAAGTTCCACGCTCACTCAGTTGGACCAACCAAACTGCTTATCGCCCTTACATTTACTTAGTCTGAGCAGAAAGAAACAGTCTATATGGTCGAAATAACTAAAGAAATAAGTACAAGTATTGACGCGAGGAATAATGTTAATAGTGTGTCCCAAAGGTGTGACGGATAGACCAATATGCTTTTTGCCAGGACTAGGCCTACCTTTTATTGTGTTTTTAATTCCAATATATGAACGGCGCTCAATCAAATTCCTGGTTGTGGCCAACAGATTGTGAAAAATAAGAACTTCAATAGATCTGGAAAATGTACATAGATGTTACCTTGTGATGACCTTGTATTAGAGATATTGAAGAAGTTTCCCTGCCAGTCTCTACCAAAACCATTGTTATTACTATCTGGCCACGCCCATATATGGTAAACCTTAATATTAAAATATAGTCATGACGTATTTTATTCACTTATAAATGTTTCTCCTTAATCATATTAGCCCAGTTTAGGAGCAGAACAGTAGGACGTTAAACCCCATTTCATTTCATTTCATATTCTTCGTAATGGAACCTGGAACCACTGTGGCTGAATGTGTATCGCACTCGCTCTCTAACTAGAAGGTTTCGGGTTCGATTCTGGTGTTGGGCGAGAAACTTAAGGGGATTTTCCAGCCTCGTTCTCCTTGTTATTGGACAGTGATCCAAGAAAAGGGTGTATAGTCTTTCGGATGATGCTAAAAACGAACCCCGTCCGTTTACTTGTTGACGTTCACATTAAGGGAGGTTCTGGGTGACCGAGGCTATTGATAGTAGGCAGAAACGCCGCTTTCCCGGCAAAATTTCCTTTACAGAACACTGCATGGGGTTTTATGTCCGCCTTTATAAAATCGGTTGGTGCAGAAAAGTAGGATGTTTTTATTCCATTTAATTTTATTTTTTCTGATTTAACCATGACTGCCACATATACCACTATGAAGTAAACCGACTCACCGAGCATTTATCTATACTTGTAACATTAGGATGATTAGCATGACGTAATGTCTGAACTTTAGGGTCGGACACTGTTAAAATAGTACCAGCTCTGACTAGTATAGGCACTGTATCTAATGGCGCTGCCATGGTGATTAATCTGTAACAATGAGAACAAGTAGGTTAGGCTAACTTCGTCAACATATCTCTTGCATACAGATTTCAAATTATGGTTAATTTGGTTAAAGATTTACTGTCGAAAAATCTTTAAAGTTATTTTAAGTTCTTTGAGCATCTACGGATGCAGTAGAAAAAAGGTTATCGTTCTCCAACACCAACTTCATTACTAATAATTTATTTTTTTTAAAATTAAAAATAAAATGACATATGGTTTCTGACTTGGGAACTTACTTTCCTCCAGGTATGATGTTATTTTGCGAAATTCTAAATCTACCATCGACTTCATCATACTATAAATATAATACAACAAACTTAATTTATAAAGGGTGAGAAAAAAAATCATATACACTAAATCTATCAGAAAATATCACATACACTACACAAATGTTGCTTTAAAATTTGTCGGACTATACAAGTTGCAAACTCATAACAGACAAGTAACTTGTATTTATATATAGTTCAAATATTGTGATCCCTGGTATTTCCTTATCATGTGATTATTATCTTTATTTATTACATAAAGATATTATTATTACTACCAAACCTTGAATTTCAACCAAGAAGATAAATTGGTAAATAATTAAAAAGTCTCCAAATCTGTTTTTTTTTAAATGTTGTCCTATAACCCTGTAAATTGTTTGGTTTTAAACAAAGATTATCGACCCGCTAAATTTGCAGGCTATTTGATCATTGGTGAATTTATCTTCTTGGTTTAAATTCACACAGTGACGATGCTGTCTTAAATTTTATTTTACCGAAGCTGGAAACAGGTACAGGAACCACGCCACTGTGGTATATATATTATTTAAACCGTTTTTTTAGTTTCACAAGAGGGAGATACTAACTATTAATTTAGAACTGACATCAATCCAGTCTTCTCCAGAAGGTAAATATACATCCAACTGATTTACACCCGGCTTGGTAATAGGAGCTACTAAAATACTCTCACCAAACATATACTGGAAAAAAAGAAAAGTTTATTAAAATAATGTATGATAATTTGAATGGTCCCACTGCTACATTATGTTCGTTCGTTCGTTAGTGAGTGTTAACGCCCGCTTAAAACAAGGGTGCTATTGGAGACAGATAGTAGTGTTTGAGAGGCAGGTCCAATGTAGGGTAGGAATGGGAAAACAAAAAAGGGAATTCGTAGCCCCCACCCCTGCGTCTTTTGAAACACAGTGTCTAATGCAGCCTTATCAGGCGAAACCCTCGAAACATTATAATTATAGTAATCTTCAATGTCCGAGTCCCGAGAATTTCTTTATATACCACCAGAAGAACTGTCATTTATGGGAAGTGAAGATGTTGATATTCATTGATCTATCATTGCCTTGATAGCTCCCAAGAACAGAAGAACATTCGGGATTGTAGAAAAATAAAACACTAACCTGATGTGGGTACTTTAAAGCTGTTTTATCATCAAAGTTTAGAAGATGGTGCTGCATTAGTGGTAAACCTTCCTGTTGAAAATAGAAGAATTCAAGTCTCGACAACTTTGGTGATTCACGTTCCTTAATGATTAAACAAATCTCTTTGATACTGCATATATATCTTTTTTTTATTTTAACATTTTTATTCTTTTATATATTCACTACTCCGCCACATTTTAACGATCCCGTACGATGCCGAAAGTGGCAGATTACACTGTATATTTGATTTATACTGAAAATCAGACTAGCTCGACAATTTACCCATGTTGACAACACGCAACACAACTCTTGTCAGTTCTGGAGGGTGGAGGGTGATAATAATACATATTTTCATCGGCCACCTCAAGGACTCAATAACAAATTGAATGAAATGGGGCTTAACGCCCCACTTTGAGGGGGAAGTTCTATCCGGTGAGTAATAGAATTCCAACTGTCAAGGGTTCTTTTACTTGTACATGGGACTTCGTTTTTCAGTCCCAACCAAGCGACTAGGAGGTGTCCTTGTTCTGGACACCCGACCCACTTTCAGTTCTAAATCATCAATGATCAACTTACATAGTGAGCTATATGAGCTTGTGTATAAATATATGGTATCAACTGAGTTCTAAGTTTTGCAAACTTTCTCCATAGGATTGTTCCATTCTTCCAATCAAAAATATGAGTTTTTCTTCCTGCTCCTTTTCCTCCACCTTGGGAAAAAGATCAATGAAAATTACTCATTAACAATATTTCGTAACAGATATAATTCTTGGATGTAAACCAACAATTTACCTTGTTCATGCATATAGCCACTGAAACATCCTAACTGTGTCCATCTAACCCACAATTCTTCGTCAGCTGATGCTCCAGTATACCATTCAAATCCACCTAGAAATCAGTTGAATTAGAAAGTACATACTACACATTGGTTGCAATTATTGTTGAGTTTAAACCAGGTGGGGCAATTCACAATAAGTCCATACAACGCGCGGCACAGAAAATGCCCCTCCACGCTTTCCAAATTAGCATTAAAATAGAAAAATTGTTATAAAATGTAATTTCAGGATGCATTAGTGCGGTACATTAAATTAAGATACAAAAATTACTGTCCCACCATAATATCGTTGAAAATTTAAAAAGTTCTTACCAGTGTTGGGATTTCAAATATTTTCTTGTCGGATATTATTACCGAAAAAAGAGGGGCATAACTCTTATCGTTATTTAAGCAGGCAGTTTCAGACAACAATTAAAAATCACGTGTCAACAAAATATTCAAATTCGTACGTAATAAAACTTCTTACCAATGTCTGAACCAGAAAACGGCATTCCTGATATACCAATAGATAGACTTGCTAGTAGCTGTGCTGGAAGACCACTGGAATCAGTCCTAAGAGGGGAAATATATATTTTCAGATTATTGACAATTCACAGGATCAATTAAATAAAAGAATATAATACATTGGTATTGGAATTGATGAATATTTAAAGCAGATTAATACTTCTGGGAATATGATCGTGTTTCATATAGTTGAACTCACCAATCAGATGAAGGATCACCTGTCCAATGAGCCCAGGTATAATTCTGGGAACCCAAATAACCAGATCTAAAAAAAACCCATCAAACATATTTCAATATTATCCTCTTTCATAAAACAATTATTGTATAAGAAGTAAAATTATATAAAGATCAATCAGTGTCAAATAGTGAGTAGAATTCAATACAGGTGACAAAAATCGCCACAAGCAGAAATCTTTCTGCACCAACCAGAATAACAATTACTGGTTTATTGGCATGCAACGTTTTGACGATGATACTTTCGTCTTTACCAAGCATAGGTTAATGATGACTGTAAATGGTGCTTTCTAGAGTATATCCTAACGTTAACGTTTCTAGCTTATAAATAAAAAATATGAGAACATTAACTTCTTTAAGGGCCCCCGGGTACACCATTCTCGTAGGCTCCTTTACAGTTCGTCCCTGGATGAAAGGGGCACCCAGATACACCATTCTCGTAGACTAGTTTACATTTCATCCCTGGAAGATGGCCATACGAATGTAGTGTGCCAAGAGTTACATTTAGTTCGGAGCTTTGTTTTACGTGTACGCCAATGTATTCCTCAGCCACAGATTTCTGGAACAATTTGCTAGTGCTGGACCTTTTTTGCAGTTAAATCGTTATTTCAGGACCAACTATTGAAATTTACGAACCTGACATAAAAAAGGTAGTCTGGAGCATAAATATCATCTTGTGTTTTATTCTGAGTCAAATAATCAAAACAGGCTTTCTGGTAGAGCAATGGATACTGATTGTGAGATTCAAGACCTTCATATTACAAGAAATGATATATATTAGAGATTGTTTCATCGAGTTAGATTTTAATAACTGTGTTTTCTTGAGTCTGGTAAACGCCCGGAATCGACAGGAGTACATAGAATCTTCTATTAAAAACGGATATTATTGTGAGTAACTCATTTTAGTATAAAGGGAGGGAATTGCAATGAAACAGTAAACACACCATCGGTGTACGTAGAATATTACCGGTTAAAAAGAATCCAGTAATTTTGTTCAACTTGTTGGGCCTCTGCTACGTTAGCTAACCTTGACCATGGTAAGGATGGGGTTTTAATTGTCACTCATTTTAGTATAAAGGGAGGGAATTGCAATGAAACAGTAAACACACCATCGGTGTACGTAGAATATTACCGGTTAAAAAGAATCCAGTAATTTTGTTCAACTTGTTGGGCCTCTGTTACGTTAGCTAACCTTGACCATGGTAAGGATGGGGTTTTAATTATCACATTGTCGACAAACCTTGTATTTAATAGGGTCAAGACAAGAAGTACTACAGGAAATTATCCACATGGGGGTCCGGTTGTAGAAAATGCGGTAATACATTGCAGGATATGAATAACTTTAACTAGGCCTATATTCATTCATATTTAAGGCCAAGGGCGTACGATCCGAGGGTGGGGGGAGGGGGCAGATTCGGTAAACCGTCAGTTTTTCGGGCAATGTATTTCCGTTGTTTTTTTGCATAACGTATTGTAAATTTATATTTTTGTGTAATTATGTAATTAATTAAAAATAAACAAACACTGCAGCTTTGTGGAAAATTCGTTTCGTTTTAGCTATATGGATTTATTCTGAAAATTCAGGTGACAGAAAAGTTTCGGGCAAATAGCCCTTTCCCTCTCGAATCTACTGAGATTGCCCCCCCCCCCCCAATGCCTACATTTAAGGGCTATTATACTTTACTCAAAAATGAGTAATTGATTAATACCTGAAATCGCCGCACGTGGTAGCACTGCTGCTAAATTACCTTGAAAATTTTAAGCTGGCGAGCTGCGGGGTCCCTTTCTAGGTGGGGCTCAATTTGGGGAAATTGGTCCAAATGTGCCAAAAAAAACCCGGCCTTATCCACGTGGTGCACTAGTTCACTACGACAATTATTAACTATGTAGTATTGGACGACCAATAAAGATACTACTAAAATTGAGGTATTATAAGAACGGAATATGTACCTGTCTGTCCTAGACTGTTAATGGAGTTATGTGGAGTATATTCACCATAGTCATACATCCAACCTTTATATTGTAAATCTAAAGCTAACTGAAAATGTTGCGTATACCAAGCTGTAGCATTAGGATTAGTGAAATCTACTTGAGACACGTGGAATAAACTGTCAACGAGAAAACATAAACAGATGGACTAAATAAACAATACCATGTAAACTCTTGAGAAGTAAGACTAATCTAACGATCACCAGAAAAAAAAAAAAATCTCAAAAAGTTTCAAAAATTGTGATATTAAGTAACTAGTATGGAGGGGTAATACGCTTTACATAAACCAACCAAAATTAAATCTATCCAAATCCACCAATATTGTTTTTCATCAAATGTCTTTATATTAACATTCCTTATATCAAATATGCAAACAAGTCAGCGTCTGCTGTCTAGAGTCTTATAAAAGTATACTCAAGTTACGTCTCTTTATGAACATTGATTTTTTCTATTTCCAGTTTATTTATAAATGTCATATTTGGGAGCAGGAATTTAAAATGAGCGACAATCCTTGTCAAGCCTCATGTAGAATGTTGCAAAAATTAAGTATATGCATTCGAAATATACGAATTTGCAGAAAACCAGCCTTATGTATGGAAGAAAGAGCTTACTGTGCAGCCAAATAATCATACTGGTAAGATTTTCCATCAGTAGTTTTAGTAAAATAACCCATTTTATCAGCATAACCATACGTTTCATTGAATGTTGTAGTTACCATTGGGTTGTAATAAGCTGTGGACTAGAAAAAAAAGACGCACAACATTAAAAGCATGGAAACATCCTTTATCATTTCTAAAAGTAATAATACGCCGGGTTCCCTAATTTCCTCCCACTGCTGAAGACCCCTACTATATGTTAGTCCCTGTCTCTGTCTGTCAGTCTGTCTCTCTGTCTCTCTCTGTCTCTCTGTCTCTGTCTCTCTCTCCATTCCTAGGTATACACGAGTAAACGCAATCTACTCACCGGTACTCCTAACTCCAAAAGTTGCTGGTTTCTGAGTAATTCTGCTTCATGCTTCTGTTTATCTTCGCCATCAGGAAAGAAATGAACAGTATCAACAACAACAGAGAAAGGGATATCCTGGTCAAACAGCATCTGACTTCAAGAAAATCAACAAAAGAAAATCATTTAATTGCTACCGGTATGACAATAATTGGTGACCGAACGGGTCAGCCGTGCAGGTAGAAACATTAATTTTCAGTTTCATGTCATTTATCAGGTGTACGGCAGGTCCAATCCATTGCCCTAGTAACGTGTAACTGTTGACGGTTGTGGGACATCTGCATATCATATTTTTATCTTGTGAATTTGTCCTTTTCAGGAATAAGCTAAGTTTACTGTGGTATACACTCCTATCGCCTCCACCATATTCTCACTTACTTCAGTACTGGTGTACAAGACTAGTTTCTAAGACAATGACCACATGCTGTGGGTACTAGTCGAACATTATTACTACTAAGGACTAAATACGGATTTTTAGATACAAATCAGCTAAACCCTCTCCCGTGTATTAGGCATGTCTTTTATTCATCTATGCGACGAGTATAAATCTTTAAGCCTTGATTACTTACCGAGCTCTAGTCGTCTCATTTTCACCAGATATTTCAGACGAAACCTGATTCCACGGTCCAAACTTTAAAAATAAAACATACCACTTTCCTCATTATGATATTGTGATATTTTATAAATTGATTAATGGACATGGCTATGTTGGGGGAGGCAAATAAATGTGGGGAGATAAGCTCAAAGAAAATAACTGTTACAGGTAACAGCTATCGAGTACAAGATAAATGAACCAATACTTACTGCCCATTGAGGTGGAACTAAAGATCTTCCGTTCTTGTTGATCATCATTTGGAATGTTTCCTTTAAACCGAAACAAAAATGTTCAAGTTTCTTATAAGTAATAAATGTATATATATAAACATCCAATAATTCGGATGAATATGAACATACTTTAGATCATCTATAACTGGTATATTTGAAAGAAATGGCCATCACAATAATTAAGTTTACTTACCCGAACCGTGTTCCCAGCAAATAATGTTGCGTTAAAACTACTGGTTTCTGTAACAATATGCATGATATCTCGTACAGTTTTAGAATCAAATTCAGATCTAAAACAAAAGCCATGAAGTACCATAAATTAATTCTGATAATGTTACTGTGGAAGATATGGATACCGGAGATGTTGCTGTAGAAGATGCATACACTAAAGATGTTGCTGCAGATGTTGTGTATACTGAAACTGTTGGTTATTTGTAGAGATACTGCTGTATAGATGATATATATACCGAGGAGTGAAGACGCGGCTGTAGATGATATGTATATCGACGAGTAAAGATGTAAAGGTGTGTATAAAGATGCTGCTGTACAGTATGTGTATACTGAGTAGTAAAGATGCTACTGGAGATGATGTGTATTCTGTGCAGTAGACATACTGTAAATACTGTAAACATGTGTACTGACGATGTTGCCTATGATGATGTGTATTCTGTGCAGTAAAGATACTGCTGAAGCAGTTGCTGTTCGCGATGTGTATACCGAGATGCCGAGATGATATGTATATTGAATATGTTGCTGTCGATAATGCGTATACCGAGACTTTTACATCGTATGTTGAAGATGCTGCTGTAGTGGGTGTTTAATCTGAAGATTCCGCTGTATAAGATGATTATACCTAAGATGTTGTTTTTGTTGAAGGAAATTGAAGGGAAAGTGTATACGGAAAACGCTTCTATAGACAAAGAGAGTACTAAAGTTGTACCTGAAGTTGGTTATGTTGAGAATGAAATTGTATTTAATGTATTCTCTTAACAATGGATTACAAAAAATGTGACCATAAATGACGACTAGACATTTCTATAGAGAGCAGAATATACTTCTGTGGACGATTGGTGTACTGATGAAATATTGAGCTTTCTATAATGATGTATTAGTTGGTGCTTGTACTGTGTGCACATTTTGGGTAAGCAAAGGTGGGTCACTATACTGTCTGTATCAAATATTACAATAAAGTACACGTTACCTATAAAATGTGTCCAGCTGAAATCCATATTTTCTAGACGATATAAAGAGTGGCATAGGAACATAGGTGCTAGTTTTACCTCCTGGAAACTAACAAAAGAAAATACCATGGAAGAAATCAAGCTATAAAGTTTACGTGTTTTTTTCTTAGTGAATGTGATATAGAAATCAGTTTAATATGACATTTTTTTTTTGGTCAATGAAAGTCGGGAAGTTAAATAAACATAACATGACTAACCCTGATATGAGGATCGAATTTTCCCCAGCCGAAGCTTCCGTCTTCCGTCCAACACCCTAGTTTCTCCCCTCGCTGGTTCACATCGTTAAATCTAGGGAAACAGATTATAGTCTAATTGTTTTTTTTAAAAACAAAATTACATTTATCTTCATAACATTTCCGAAACATTGTTCTCTAATATTCTAACAAAATATCTTATGGAAAATTTATTTTTTACCTTTCACCAAAGCCGTAAAAACCTTCGTCTTCTTCTTGAATTTTAAAACCCCAGTTTACTCGATTACTGAAAATATTAAAAAATAAATATGTTAGCCATCGATTTTTTGGAGACATTACGTCAGACTTGTAGATTTACTTTTAGTCAATCATAGTCAGCTCAGTTGTTCTATATAGCCATCCCAAACATGTGTCTTACATAGTTCGGTCGCTCGGGGAACATGGCGGTGGTTGTTATCCTGGAAACGATTCTGGAGTTGGACGAGAGAGTTTCTAGGGATATCCTAGGCTGGTTTCGGATGGACAGTGACTGGCAATAAAACGCATGGAGTCCTTCGGATGATAGGAAACAAAGATCCCAAGAGTTCGTGTATACCATTGGCAGCACGTTCAAAATACCCTGACAGTTGGATGAAAGCGAAATAAGAGTAGACCGTAGCGCCGGTGTCGAGGATTGTCCCTCATAGCACGCAACATAGATTCATTAGACCAGTTGGTGCAAATATGTAAGACGGTAAACCCCATTTCATGTCTTATATTATTCTTACATTACACATACCAAATAATGGTTTGACGGGGTTTTGCTTCTACTTTACCTGTCTAAAGGTGGGTCCACTGTAAAAGAGAAAGACAGTTGTCTGTCTTTGACAGCAGTAAATGTTGCTATAATATGTCTATTGTTACGATCATCTGTATCAACAACTAGGGTTACATCTGTAGGTGTTTGGTTAATTGATAAGACATCAGTAGCATAGTATTCATATTCCATTACTCCAATCCGGAATAAATATCCCATATACAGATCTATATAGTCACCAACCCATTTACCAAAACCCTAAGATAAAAATAAACTAGTTATTGCTTATAAAGAATATTTTTCATAAATACAAACTTGTTATAGCTCTTAATGACTATTTGCTTATAACGATTGTTTGTTAAATAAAACTAAAGTAGTTACTGCTTATAACGATTATTTGTTATAAAAAACTACAGTAGTTACTGTTTATAACGATTATTTGTTATAAAATAGACTTATAGTTACTACTTATAACTATTATTTGTTATAAAATAAACTAGTTACTGCTTATAACGATTATTTATGAGCATGACGAAGCTTAACTGCCTGGAATATTATTCATCTAGCTTGGACTCCAAACATAAAACCCCGAAAGAACTTTAATTACAAATGGATAACATAAGATAAAACATAATCAACCTTTCAGTGGATGCGTTTTAATTTATTATATTAACTTATTTATTATCGTTTAGTACTCTTGAAATTCTTTGATAATATTGCTGAAATTATCTTACTAGTTTTTGACTTCTGCTATCTTCCTCTGTTATAATAAGTTGTTGTGTATTATTATCATAGATATTCAGTTGCCATGGTTTCTTGTTAATCTCTAATCGTAATTCTCCAGCATATATAACCACAGTATTGTCATCATCAATGGTTAGTATCTAGATATAAAGATGGCATAAGATGAATTAGACTTTCAGAGTCGGCCTGTCTTTAAGGTTGCTAATTTTCTGTGCATTGAAACTTCACTGTACTGTTTCCGAGAAGATTTCTCGGGATATCTCAGGCTGTTTTTGGATGGGCATTTTTGGGTGCCCTCTTAGGCCCCAAAGACCACACACAGCAACTGGATCCCGGCAGACATCCATATCTGAATATGCTAGGTTGCACAGTGTTCATTCCGGTACACTGATATTGGTACCTCATTCGTTTGACCAAAGTGCTCTGGGCTGCTGGTCTAACAGTGATGCAGGACCTCACAATGAAAAGCGTCTAGTATTTCGGATGATACGATACAAAAACCCAAGTTTCTTTGTATTCCATTGACAAAATCTCCTGACAGTTAGAAATGTAAATAAGAGTAGACAGGGCAAATTTTCCCGTTGGCTCACTAACCAGGAGGTCCCGGGTTCCATACAGGGTGTTTGCCAAAAACGTTCCTCTGGATATTTCAGCGTGGTTTCAACTTCTCAGTGGCACAGGACGGGGGGCGGGAAAAGGACCTGGCAAGAAACAGTTTCTAGTTTTTCGTATGGGACGAAAACCCGAGATCACGTTTATATGTTGGTGTGCACGTAAAAAAAAAACAAACTTTGACAGTTGGAATTCGATGAAGATTTCCCTCAAGACACACATGTCCGCCTTCATTAACCCGGATGGCAAGTAACATTTTCCGATAATTGCCCATTTTAAATATAAATGTATGATTCTTTGAAGTTCGACATGGCGAAGCGTGGGGTTATAAACTTACATCTACATTCTAATGAAAACATATGTATTTTATTGAAAATATATGTATCAAAACGACTTACATTTGAAGATATATATCCACAGGACGATATTATAATCCCAAATACAAGTAAATATTTCATATTGCTATATAACACTTTCTTGATAGGGCTTATTGAGGATACTTCGTGTACCAAAACATGATAATATTGATAAAGAAAATGAATGAACTTTGATAACAATAATAGATAAGTGACATTACATTAGTAAACACAAATAATGACCCCAAATAAATATTTGCATAATGAATACAACTTAACCCTACACTTTATTCTGGAATCATGCAATAAATGCTTATATTATTTGCCATGAAGTCTGGGTATCTTTTATTAGACATCAAAGAATCCAATAAAGTCGGTGCTCAAGAACATAGATATCCCATTTTATAAAAACTTCTGCACTGGCAATTTTCTTATTAATGAAGTCATCAACATGAGACTCTTTCCCATGGTTAAATTCAACCCCGCCATTTTTTCTTTTCCTTTCCGCAAAGAGTATCAGTAAAATGAGAATTTTACGATAGTTATCGACTAGACTTAAACGGCCAAAATAAAATTATGGTCCGAACTAGGCATAACTGGCATCCATAAACTATACCCATCCAGTGCGAATTTTCGCTTGGACGCATCATCAAGGTGCAAAAGTTTGGTCACGCACATAACTACCTAGAATTTACTTTAGCAACCATATGCAAGTGCAATATAATCACAAATGGTTAAGCTATGGTCAGAATTCCTCTGGAATGACAGATTTATTAAAATAGCTTGGACTTTGAAAAATGAGCACTTTGTGTGGAATTGAGTTTATATAAATGGAAATTTTATTATTGTTTATTTGAATCCAAAATAAAATTGTTGTTTTACTAGGATTGTATGTATTGATTGGTTTTATCTGAGGATAAATAGGTCTATAGATAAAGTTCCTGTTGAGATACAACCGTAATATTGCCCACTGTTGACAGAGTAAACCAAATTTGAATTAAAATTCTACTTAAAAGATACATTATGGGAGATTAGATAAAGAGCTGGCAGTTCTCACTATAATAGTTAAAAACTAGATAATGTAAAGGGAATTTGCTGAAAATTTCGATCAAATTGATCTACCCTGAACTGAGAATCGATTGAATTTTCGGCCTAGCCTCGATCATCATTAGAAAATTCGGTAGATAAAAACAGTCTCGATTATCCATTTCATGATTAAATTATGAATGAAAGTGGAGCAGCAATTGGGATTCTTGACATAGAGAGTTGATTATGGTCTGGATATGTTAATTAATGTCTAATTAATAATTTAGATAACATTTCAGGCCTAAAGAAAGACCTGAAATAGGCAGATTTAGCTCTTGCATAATGTATGTTTAATTCAATGGTGTTGAGTTTGTCCTCATTACTAATAACATATCCAACTGTATAGATAACAACTACTAGATTTGGGAAGAAAATCAACTACTAGATTTGGGGCTTCAACAACTACTAGATTTGACCTTCAAGAATAACAACTACTAGATTTGGCGCTTCAAGAAGAATAAAGGATTTGAACATTTTTGGTAGAACTTATATATAATGGAGATAATGGATGTAAAAACTTTACAATAATTTTTATAAAAAAATAATGTTTATTATGATGTATAGTTTATAATGTGGTACAGTAATCATTAAAACATATCCTAAGGGTCCAATTTATAATTCAAAACAAATGTTAATAGTCATAATGTGGTAATCATAAAACAAATGTTAATATGTCTTAATCATAAGTGGTAATAAGTCATAATGTGGTAATCATAAAACAAATGTTAATATGTCTTAATCATAAGTGGTAAGCATAGTCATAATGTGGTAATCATTAAAACAAATGTTAATAGTCATATATAAAGGAAATGTTTTATTTTGATTCCAACTTGCAAGATACTGATAAATTTATACAAATATCATTTGCACCTGTTTAGCATAAATAGCAACTTATAGGTAGCCTATAAACATTGCATTCTATTCTCAAACATTTATGCAAACATGTTTTTTCAGTTTTATTCTAGCAGTAATCAATAACAACAAAATCACAACACTGGGCATATCAAAATCATGACTTCTCTTTGATTTGAATTAAAAATAAAACTGTTGATTTGAAATACAAGATTAAAATCTGATTAGCTTGAAAATACTACATCTGTCCATAAAGCCAGTGTTCAACAGTAAATATAGTAAATAAAAATGAGAACAAAAATTAGTAAACAAAACTACATGCGCTTAACCTTAATGGAAATAACAAATCAGATCCATCCAATTCAGTGGTTTATTATGAACTAAATCAAAGCAGTTTAGCTCCTTTAAATGAAAATGATCATTATTTTCAAAAATGTAACAAAAGATAATGTAAGATAAATAAAATCCTACTCAAAACTAAGACCTATTCACAATAAAACTAAATAATTGATCACAAGATATTTAATCATGCATTAAAACAAGGATATTATTTAAATCAATAATTTCAGTAAAATCTTATATGAAATATATGTGTAAAAATATATCAATTTGAGCACTAAAGAATAATATAACCATTTAAAATTTTTTAACAATATAATAAAAAAAATCAATTACTAAATTACATACAGACCTACATTTGAAAATGTATATTATATAATTGTTATGAGACACATCCTAGAGGTTTTTTTTTTGATTTTGGATTAAATTACAACTGTAAATGTATGTCAATGTTTATATAATTCATATAGTAAATAAACCAATTAGATGAATATTATACAAAATAATCCAAAGGACTAGACAGCTGTCCTTGTCAGGCCCTCCGTCCTGCATCACTGACAAGGGGAAACCACGTCGGAAAATCGGCCAATGCATATACTAATTATAAATAGACCAATTGGATGAATATTATACTAATAAGACCAATTGGGTGAATATTATACTAAATAGACCAATTGGATGAATATTATACTAAATAAACTAATTGGATGAATATTATACTAAATAGACTAATTGGATGAATATTATATGAATAAACCAGTTCAATGAATATTACATTAAATATGCCAAATTCCCAAAAGATTAATCAAAATAGAAATATAACAGAACAAAATTCCCTGAATTACATTAAAGCAACGTATTCACTTTTCATCCAAATTTTGTATTTTCTTCAACAAGTCTTTTGAGGTTGTTATTATGACTAACCCATCTTTAGCACGAGTTGATAAATTAACAATAAATTTATTTAAATCCGCATGATCCTCATTTATGCTTGGATCTAAGCCAATAATAATTGGTCGATCTAAGCCACTAAATCTCCGCACAGATTCTACAGTGACGTCCTCAATATTGGCATCATTGCCGTCTCTATCATCACATTTATTCAAATCTGGTAAAATTTGATTTTGAACTCTGTCTGCATCTTTTTTCTTTCCGGTTAAAATTGCCATATCTCTGGCATCAGTGCCATTTGATGTAAAATTTCCAAGAACTTTTGATAAAGTTTCTGTTAAAAGTTTTTGATCACAATGGATGACATTGACTTTATGACCTGAATTGAACTCATGCCCTAATTTGGGCTTGTCTTGGATGTAGTCTGTATCAGACGGGCAGTTTGAGTTATTACTATTCATAAATTTGGAAGCATATTCAAATATTTCTTTAGATGTTCGTGAAATCTCACTCAACATAAAGTTATTTTTTCCAATAAGACTTGGTATTCCTGCTTCAAATTTATGGACTTTTTGTGCATAGTCCATCGACATCCAAAAATATCCACTATTTATGTCAGTACCAGAGGATGACGAATTCTGCTTGGATAATGTTTCTGCCAGTTTGTACCAATCTCCATCGCGATCCTTGAAATTCTGCGCCTCGTCTATGAAAACATTTTGTATCTGACCATATTTGGTTGCCATTATTTCTGGGTCATGGGTGTCTCTCATTAATTCTCTTCTGTTTACAACAAGACAAATATTGAACGACCTGAAACAATGGAAATATTTTTAATAATATATGAAAGACATGAACAGAGAGAGAAATGGGGTTTAACGCTGCTCGACAGAAACAAGGCTATTTCGTGATTAAGATATGGTTCAATTTTATTTCAATAAATTGCTTGCACAAAGGGGTCTTTAGCAGTGTGAGGAAACTGGAGGACTTGGAGAAACCAACAAGGTTAGACAGGCCACCCTAATCCTTATCACATACAAGCTGCGAATCGAAACCACACCACTTGACTTAATGACAGACCTTGTTGCAACTAAAATATTTTAGTGAATAAAACAGATTAATTCAGGGTAATAGACTCTTCTCAGGTCCTGTGCAACTATCCGAAGCTCAGTGTTGCTTTTTCAAAGAAATTCAACAACCAGTTTCCATGCTGGACATTAGTACACAAATTCCACATTGGACAACCACGACTGTATACTTGCCGAAGTTATAATGGTTAGTAATTGTCGCAATGATAAATCATTCACTGATTCAAAATTTTAAAAAAAAAAGTAGATTTCTCGACACAGACTAGGTCATTTCAAGACTAACATAATATTGTTTAATTTTATTGCAATAATTCGCTTGCGCGCAGGGGTCTTTAGCAGTGGGAGGAAACCAGAGGACCTGGAGAAAAGCCACGAGGTTGGACAGGCGACCCTACTCCTTGTCACGTACAACCGGGGATTCGAAACCACGCCAGTTGACTCAATGACAGGCCTTATGTATGATACATTGCGCATGTGCTAACTATTCGGCCATCCAAACACCCCCTGCACCAACCCTTAGTGAATGTGTTATACAAATCAGTTTAATATGACTGGCTAGTAAAATATGAATGTGAAGACCCTGAACTGGATACAGCAGAAAGTTCGGGAAGTTTTTAAATGTGTTTCACCAACCTAATATATAAACACAGAAGATGATTCTCAGCTAAATACAATATTTGAGATTTGGTACACCCTCGACGAGATAATTCGCTAATCATCTGTAGAGTGGACACAGTTTTTCCAGAAGCAGGAGGTCCGTGGATCCATAGTTCCTTCGTAAATTGATGAGTCCACAATAATTCAAACTGATCTGAGGTCAAGAGAAAATAATATTCTTCATGTCGCGTTTTGGCTTCATGAGGTACATAAGTTGCTATCGACACGAACGCAGAATCCAACAACTTATCTAATTTGTTTACGTCCATAGAAAAGGTCGACGGATAAAATCGTTGACTTATTTCTGCTTGAAAATTCTGTAAATTTAGTTCATCACTGACATCAACAATATGACAGCTTATGCCTATTCTTTCACAACTTCCACCATAATGCACAAGCTGTTGTTTTAATTTACTTGCCAGATTCTGACAATTTTTGATGGCTTGTTTTTTGTCTTTCACTGTCTTTTTCACAAATGTTATTAACAAGACACCATAATGGAGACTAAAAACAACATAACTAGTGATTTTTTCAGGAAATGATTCCGGTGAGAGAGGGATTCGGAAACCCCATGAATGAATGTCTATTGCTAGATGTGGTTCTGCATGGAATGTAAGTAATATTGCTCTAATGGTTGCTATGGTTTTATGATTCTCAATCGTATCCAGTATATGTTTAGGATGTACATTTAAACCAGTGGTGGCTGAAAAATAGATATACAACGGTAATACAAGTAATTTTGATAATACAAATGTATAAAGCAAGTCTAGCCAATTGTAATCATATACACCAGTATCATATCTAAGGAGGGTAGGGGTGGGGGTCCAGCTGTTTTGGACGAGGTGGGAGGGGGGAGCATATTCCTGAAGCAATGTCCTGAGAAATCCCTCTGTGGCTATTGCTGGATTGGCTTCTGATACTTGAGCTTTTGAGAGAGTGTGTCTATTATTCCCTTTCAATTAAATCTATCCCAAGTACAGCAACATGGCAGCCCTTCGTTTAATCTGGGATCTTCGCTAAAACTTTGGATAGTGATTTAAGGTATTAAAAACGGTGACAGTATTGTTCGTCTCTAAACAGAATTGTTTACATTGTATTCGTTTTGATAGCCTTGTTTGTCACGCAATTAGTTTTTCTGCAATATTCTTCTATGCACTGGTTAATTGGGCATAATAAAATGATGTAACATTATGTAAAAATATTTGGTCCAATTTGGAGCTCTGTTATAATTTGGAACAGAAATTTGCTTCCTTTACAGCAGTGTTAAGTGGGATTGGGTATAATCAAACGAAACACTGTGAGGAGTAGGGGTTTGGGGGGGGGGGGACTTTTGTTCTACCCCATTTGAAAAAAGTAGTTAGTACAATCTGTGCTACATTTATCTAGTATCCCCTATACACGATCCTCAATAGAAGGCTTGATCTCGCTTAAACTCATTACATCTAATTCATGCCTTCACATCATACTCTGCACTAATATTGATTAGTTTAAACATATTTTATTGACAAATATCAAAAGGATTGAGCACAAGTTTCAAAAACTTAGAAAAGCCCTTTCCATACATAGAAATGATAGACATTATTTAATACTAACAAGATTTCGAAATAGTATATACAATAATAAATAATTTATAAGTAATATAAGTAAAGTCAGATGAATTATATCTCAAAGCTCTATATAAAAATAAGTGAAGAGGTGATAAAGAGAATATAAAATTATATTTAAAACATTGAAAAATAAAGTTTAATAAATGGGATATAAATGAACTGATGCATGTATAAAATGATAAAAAGAAATAATAAAAAATAAAAAAAAAAAAAAAAAAAAAAAAAAAAAAAATGGGGGGTGGGGGGTGCGGAGAAAAAAAAATAAAAAAAAATGGGGGGGTGGGGGGTGCGGAGAAAAAAAAAAAAAAAAAAAAAAAGAAAAAAGTTATCCACCAAAAAAGCTAAAGCTAATAATTTATTCTAAGATGTAACTACTAACAATAACTTTTATTTAAATTTAAATCGTTTTGAAAGTTTGATATATTTGTGAACTTCAAGGAAAAGGTTTGTATTCATCTCAATTGACAATTCTGAATTGCCGCACAATAGGATATCTATATTTATCACAGAATAACTTGACAATGTATTTAATAGTTCAGCACGAATTACATCATATAAGTGACATTGCAGGAAATAGTGTTCGGCATTTTCTATAAATTTGCCACAAGAACATGTGGGATCATTCACAACGTTTATTTCATACAAATCATTTTGCAACGAACTACACCCATGCCGTATTCTAGTGTGAATAATATTTTCATGTCTATTACCTTTACAGTAGTAGATTGGCGCTTTATGTATTAAGGAACGTAATTTTTGTTTGTATAGATATTTGAAGGATTTAAGAGTGGTTGATTGCTTTATGGGGTCCTCTAATAATTCCCAATCTCGAATTGTTGTGGGGAAGTACGAAGTTTGGTGTAATGCTGTTCTACAATAAGGATATCTATATTCGCTAATGTTTCTTAAATTGTATTTTTGTGGTGTTTGTTGATAATATTCTAGAATGTCATATAAGTATGCTGGGTTTCTCTGATTTTTAATTTGAAAAAATGTGGTTAGTCGCTTTTGTGTACGTCTGTCTGACAATTTATTCCATCCGGTTTCAAAATAAAGCGCTTCACGAGAACAAGTTTTAGTTAGTCCAGTCACAATCCTGGCAGCTTCTAGCTGTACCTTTTCAAGTTTTTCGGTATTGGAAACGTTACACCCATCCCACACTTCACATGCGTATTCCAATTTTGGCCTTATGAATATCAAATATACGTTATTTAGAGTTTGTCTATTAAAGGTGAATTTTAGTTTACGCAAAATATTTAATAATTTTGAGGTGGACGAGATAATAGTTTCTATATGGATGGTCCATTTGGCGTCATTTGAAAGGGTAATGCCCAAGTGTTTGTGACATTTAACCACTTCAAGTGCTTGATTATCGAATATCAGACTCGGATAATTTTCTGTTTTTTTGGAGCTAAATAAAATAGCTTTTGTTTTGTTTGGATTAAAGTTTATAAGCCAATTATTCGCCCAAATGTTGAGATTTGTCAGATCGTAGTTTAGGGACTGTTCTATCTCTGAAACTGACTGTTTGCTACACCCAAGTGCCGTGTCGTCTGCAAATAATCTAGCCACATTATGGAGTACATCTTGTACATCATTGATGTAAGTCAAAAACAAAAAGGGGCCCAAAACTGATCCCTGGGGAACTCCTGATTGAAGAGTAATTTCTGATGACACAGAGCCATTTACGAATACCCGTTGAGTCCGGTCTTGGACATAACTAGACAACCACGTAATTAGCATGCCTGAAACCCCATATTGACTTAATTTGTGTATCAAACCAGGTAAATATACGCGGTCAAACGCTTTAGATATATTGCAAAAAACATAGCAGGAATATAGTTGCTTATCTATTGCAGATGAGATATCATGATACACTTCTAAAAGTTGATGAACAGTAGAGTAGTTCGGTCGAAACCCTGATTGGTGTTTGTACAAGAGATTGTTTTCATGAAAATAGTTAAACAGGTGTTTGAAAACTACCTTTTCTAATAATTTGCTCAAAGAACTTAATAGGCTTATAGGTCGGTAGTTTGAAACTAGAGAGCTGTCTCCTTTTTTATAGAAAGGTAGGACATTTGCTTTTTTCCAAATTGTTGGAAAAACCCCTGATTCTAGTGATTTGTTAAATATATATTTTAATGGTACACATATTGAGGTTTTGGTATATTTTAGTAACTTGTTACTAATATTATCAAATCCATTGGCTTTTTTCAATTTCAGTGTACTTATAAGATCTGCGATTTCCTTTTCTTCGACTAAAGGAATATCAAGTTGACAATTTGTTCGCTTATTGAATTTTGGTAATTCTCCTTGCTGAGTGTTATTTGAAATTGATCCGAAATAGTTGTTAAGTAATTCAGCTTTATCAAAATTTGAATGAGCAATTCTTCCATTGGGGTCTAAAAGTGGAGGAATATCATTTGATACATTTTGGCCTAATACTTTCCTTAAATTATTCCAGTAATTCTGGCAATTTGTATCGTTAGAATTCAAGAAATTTGTGATTTCTTCTTTGTATTTTGTTTTTAACGCTTTTTTAAAATTATTTACTTTATTTCTTTGAACTTTGTATTTTCTTAAATCGCATTCATGTTGTGTTTTCAAAGCTTTTTTGTGTAACCTGTTTCTGATTCTTATCGCTCTACGTATTTCTGTATTGAACCACGGTTTGTCAGTTAGTCTTATAGTTATTGATTTCTTTGGTATGCACAATGTAATATAGCTATTTAAAATTTCATAAAATTTTGAACATACTAAGTTAATATCAGAATTTGCAAAGGTACTCTCCCAATCGTGTTCTTTGATAAGAGTATTTAACCTATTATAATTACCATCCTTATATACAAATATCTCCCGTTTAAAATTCCTGGGACTTGAAACTGGAAAATCTAATAATGCATAAACACCCTTATGATCGGATATGTCAGGAGTGACATTAATCGTTTCACTGGAACTAATCTGAATTTCATCATTTACTAAAATTACGTCTAATAAGGTTGATGACGTCCCAGTAACGCGTGTAGGTTCATCAATAACATTTCTGAGATTATTTAAAGATAAAATATCCCGTAGCTTGCAGCGTTGTGCTAGCAAGTCATCATTTAGATCACCTAAAATTACAACCTTAAGCGTGGTTTGATAGGCTAGTTCAATGGATCTTTCGAACAATGACCAGAATTCAATTGTGCTGTTTGGCGGGCGGTAAAATAAGGCAACAAGTAATACGGTGTTTGGAAATTTGCATTCCACCCAAATACTCTCTATACCTGTAACCTCAAGATCATCTCGCCGTTTGCAATAAATGGTTTTATTAACATATAATAATAATCCGCCACCATGCGACGTCCGATCCTTCCGGTATGGAGAATGGTAACCGTCCCATTTTAGAGATGAATCTAACACATAGTTATCCAGATGAGTCTCAGTGAAACTACAAATATGGTAATCATTGACATCGTTGTATATTGTTTCAAGTTTGTGTCTTATACTACGTGCATTTAAGTGATAGACTGATAGGTTTTCATTTGAATCGTGATTTGAAGGTCCAGGATTTTTATGAACGTCTCCTGATCTTAGAACTAATAAGGCTAGAACAGTACTTAGCAGACAAAAATTATCAAGTTCACATAAAACTATTGGAGATATTATTCGACATTGCCATTTCTCAGATGCCTCGTGCTTTACTGTGTAGTAAATGTCAACTATTACAGTAGCAATGAAAATATAATGAGTGTTGCACTTGCGCCAGTATTGCACGAGGGGACTGAGAAATCATCAAACAGTTAGATCTTAAATATTTAGTGGTTAGTTTTGGTGGATATAGAGACATGAGAACATGATGTAAATAACTAGTAAACAAATAAAACATACATACAGACAAAAACAGTGAATTATTTACAGTTAAAGCAATAGTATAATACATAAACATTGAATGTTTCGGTCATAGTTAAGTTAATATAACAATATCGTACGATGATATCTAAAGCAGGCAATTTTGACAAAAAATGAAGATGAAGGTTAAAGTGATAATACTTAGAGGGTGGTCAGTTTAACAATCCGATATGCAATTTTGATGCAAGACTGATTTCCCATAATTGACAATTATTTAGATAATTGGCTGTTTATATTTCAGTAATTTAAATGGAATAAAAAACGAAATCAAAAGTTTAAACTGAGATGATAACCCAATTAGTTAATATTTGAATGGAACTTTTAAGTAGATAATTGAGAACTTTTAAAAGATACGCCCATAAATAATGTGGGCATAGTTTTATACATTCGATTTTTTTTATTATCATAATTAGTTATATAATAATATAAATGTATAACTACATGTAACTATGTATTATAAACTAAACAGTGGTCTAAGCTAATATTACTCTGTAATAGTTAGACAATAGGGAACCAACAAGTAAAATACATGTACATGACTTTACTTTACAGAAAGATTTTGTCATTGTTTTAAAAATCTAAGCAAACTTATTATTACATGAAGGATAATTGGGGCAATGGTGAATGCATGAAACGATTTGAGGTACTATCCAGTTGGTCATCAACTTAAAGATACATTATGGGCGATTAGATAAAGAGCTGGCATATCTCACTATAATAGTTAAAAACTAGATAATGTAAATGGAATTCGATTATCCATTTCATGATTAAATCATGAATGAAAGCTGAGCAGCAAATCGGATCCTACTCCAGTAAATATCGCAGGCTAGCGATGACATCGAGAGTTGATTATGGTCTGAATAAGTTTTAATTAATGTCTTAATTAATAATATTGATTGGTCATTGACCCAGCTCTCGACCGCTCAGATTCCTTGATAGACATTATCTTTGTGAATACCAAGTCTCACGCTTCCCAAATGAGCTGTCTAGCTGTGATAATTGAGCTGCAAAGTTCAAGGTTCGTTCAACGTCAAGGTTAACTCTACAATCTTGTGTAGGCATTGATCACAGTGGCTAACATTACAAAACAAAAGTGCCGTACCTTTGAAATGTTTTTCTCTGGAAGTTTTAATCGTATGAACCAAACCAAATACTAATCTAGGACATGGACTCGGTATTGGTATTTTAACAAATCTACTGTGTAATTCTGGTTTATCTGAAAGAGAGAGGTTCTTTTGAGACTAACATATGGTTCAATTTTATTTCAATAATTAGCTTGCGCGTATTGGTCTTTAGCATTGGGAGGAAATCGGAGGTCCCGGAGAAGACCCACATGGTTGGACAGGCGACACTACTCCTTGTCATGTTCAAATGGGGAATCGAAACTACAGTACTTGACTGAATGGCAGAGCTTGTGAGTCCATGCACACCACTAGATCATCTACCCCCCCCCCTCTTAAATTCTAATAATATGTATGTTACAGTATGTAGTATCTTTTAATTCAGTGGCATGGGAACATATTTTTTGAACAATATGAAGAAGATGTTATGAAGAAGCTATGGTGGATAAGGGAGTAAGGTGCTGACAGGATATCCCAGAGGTCCAGGGTTCTGGTGTGGTTTCCTCTTGTTGGTGGTGCAAGATCGAGGGACTGGCAAGGAACATCGTCTTGTTGTTTGGATGGGATGAAAAACCGATAATGTAGACACCTTAGCGTCCACATAAAAGAAGCCTTGACAGTTGGAATTCAATTACTGTGCAAGGAAAATTCCCCACATGGCATGGCTTACTCTCGTTTTTATTAGCTTGGTTAGAGAAGAGAGATAGGATGTTAAACCAGATTAATGACAACAACAAAATATAAAACTATGTAATTCTTGATAAAATATTAAAATGTCAGAAAAATCACCTCTGATTTCTGCTAATGTTGCTGATTTCCAGTCATCAAAAGTAAATTTTTTAACATTCCCTGTGGAATCAACATAGTAACTTTCTGGAGAAGTTGTAAAAACACCACCAGGGAATTTACATAAACTAACTACAACAACCATACGTCGAGTCTGTAGAATAATTCAAGAAATAAGTAAATAACAAAATCTTAACAAAACCTGATAATTGTTTTGACTGACACATTTGTAAATGATTATTTTATTACTTGACTTGTGACAGGAGTTTTTTTTTAACAGTTGAAGGAATCAGAGAAACTGTAGCAAAAGTATGAGGCAGGCTACCCTAAACAGAGTCACACTAGTGGATCAATCCTGGCAGAGTCACACTAGTGTTTCGATCCTGGCCATGTCCTACTAGTGGCTCGATCATGGTAGAATGACACTAGTGACTCAATCCTGGCAGTGTCCTAGTAGTGGCTGAATCCTGACAGATTCCTACTAGTGGCTCAATCCTGGTAGAGTCATACTAGTGGATTGCTTATGGCAGAGTTCTACAAGTGGATCGATCATGGCAGAGGCACACTTGTGGAATTATCCTGACTGCATGGATGCTATTTCGCCTGTATACGCCGGAAGTGTCCTATGCGAATTGACAAACGTCAAATTGGGAATATGCCAGACAAAGTCACATTAGTGGTTCGATCGTGGTAAAATCGCACTAGTGGATTGATCCTTTAAGACAAATCCGAGCCAAAGTCTTCTTTTTTCTTGGTTTAATTACTGTTACCAAATGAACATTCTCTCTCCGAATTTGAAAATACTTACTCTATAAGGCACATTATAAACAGGGAAAAAATTAATATCCCAGTGAGTTCCCCTTTCAGCCTGAAAACTACTCTCACCCCATATAACTGAATTCATTCTCCTCGTAATATCCTGTACTGAAATTTAAAAAAAATAAAACGTTTCCATAACAGTTTTAAAAAAATGTGAATCAAACGAGTCTAAATACATGTAGGTGTTTTGTTAAGAAATGACATAATACCACCTTTAAATTTTACTGAAGGACTTCAGTACTCAGAGCCATGTTGTCTCCCCTTTATTACTGAAAGCCACCATGTTACAGGTCCCTGTGTGACCTGTTACTATAACCTACAATATACCTGTGTACATTGATGTAATACATTTATATTAACAGTAGTATTCATAAGCATTTTTATGGTACAGTAATGTTCAAAATTTCAGTTTAAATTCTGAAAAATTTCCATAAATTGATCATCAGGGAAGTTTACAATTGGTTTTATAGACCAAAACCTGTGATGGTAGCTTAATAAAACTGAATTCATTCTAGACTAAATGCGTTTATTTGAATCAGAGTTTGCATTTAAGGCCACATTTACCTGTCAATTCCTGCTGTTCAGGTGATAAATCTTCACCTGTCACCTCTGCCCTTTGATCTTCTATACCAAAATATATATGGCCACCTTCATGGTTAGCAAATGCGGTTATGTACTTAGAAAGCGCTGCACTGAAAAACAAAAAAGTTTTAAAACACTGCTAGAATAAAAATTGTCAAATCGTGAAGTGAGTGAATTGGTCATCTGCATAGTATCACAAATGAGAGTGAGAGTCGCAAACCCAAGGAAGTTCATCAGGTATCCATCCATACAATCATTTTGCTTATTGCTTCATTCCAACCTCGTTGTGGGTTTTCTCGAGTCCTCCGGTTTCCTCGCACTGCTAAAGAACCCTACACGCAAGCGAAATATTGAAATAAAATTGAACCATGAGATAGTCCCGAAATTACCTAGTTGTGTCGAGTAGATGTTAAACCCCATTTTTCTCTCTCTCTTTATTGCTTCATACATGTTAAAAGCTAGGACTAATTAATTTCACATAGAATAGATTTCCATCATGTGTTTAAATACTTACAGACAGAAATTAATCAGTTGTTATTCTTAGTGTTTTTCTTACCTTATTCTCTTAGGAAGAGATCTAGTGACCTCACAATTATTCGAAGATAACGATTTGAACTGGATTTGTTTTCCTTCTTGTTTTAAACTCTCTTCCGTCTGGAGATAATAATACTCTTCAGGTATAGGAGGTAGATCGGACAATAACCCTGGTTGGCCCCGTTTTGATAACAGCTTTATAACAGAGCGATTACTCACGTCATGGGTGGCCGTTTCCGTTGGCAATCGACTGTGATAATTTATAGTACACAAATGTTCCGATGATTTAACAAAAAGATACAAAAACTTGTCATCAAAATTACCTACAAAGTCAAGATAGTTACAGAGATCGTCTCCTGAAAGAATATCTGTGAGAGCATTTTCCATTCCGCTCCACCACATATCCAAGTCTTTAGATTGTAAATAACGATTTGATTCTTCATTTTTCATTTGGAGTATTCCTCCGCCTGAATTGAGTAAGGCGCAAACATATTTGGGTACAGTATGGTTTTCACCATCGCGGATTCCTTTACTAATATGAACTGAACATTGTAACACTGATTCACCAAAATACTGAAATCTCTCCGTACTAGAAAAAAAATGCAAATATTTTGTATAATAATTGGAAATTAAGTATTAACTAAAATGCTGAGTTAATAAACCTACAAGTAGGCTACATTATCTATACAAATTGTTATAGTTCACATTTGTGAACATTTCATATAAACGAGAAGGATTAACAGAAACAGAACACCAATTCATAAACATAAATTTTCAACTAGGCTATTGTTTCACCCATAATGAAACCCAATCTGATTAAAATACAGATCTATATTTCGTTTCTTTTTTTTTTATACCTTCGATGGCCTACACTACATGCAGATCTGGCCGGTTGTACTGAAAGGTCACGTCAGGGGGTTGTACGAGCGGCATTTGACCCTATGACGTCTGTGTTGATGTTTCTAATGGTTTACCCACAGTTTCATGCATCGCCAGCCAAGAAGTCACCGTAACAGATGGTTTCATTGGCTAATCCCTCACGCCATCAAGAACGCAGGTTATATAACAACTCTTTCAGATCCTAGTGTAGTACAGACAAATGAAACAAAATTGTGAACTATAAAAAATGAAAAGAAATAGGATCTGTGTTTTAATCAGATTGACTGAAACCCACAGATTATCTGTATTTCTTTTTAGTACGTAAGTTGAATAAATTATCCTATCGATCATTTTCACTGCACACCAGTCAACACACTGAAAGGAGAACCCTGTTGCTTCTTCTAGGGGGTTGTGTGGCCAAATGGTTAACGCGCATGCATTGCACCATAATGTCTGTCATTGAATCAAGTGGCGTGGTTTCCATTCTCCGCTTGTACGTGACAAGGAGTAGGGTCACCTGTAAAACCTTGTGGGTTTTCTCCAGGGCCTCCAGTTTCCTTCCATTGATAAAGACCCCTACGCACAGGCGAATTATTGTAACCAAATTGAACCATATGTTAGTCCCCAAATGACCTAGTTTAATTGTGTCTAGTGGGCCTTAAATCTCTCTCCTCTTCTTCTATTCTTTAACGTCCACTTCCACCAGTAATATCGCAGACAAGTTATCTTATTTTATTATGCTTAGGGGTCTTTCCTGTGAGAGGAAACCGGAGTAAACCCATGAAGTTGAGAAGACATCCCTATCTTCAAGCCATATAAGCTGAGATCAGGGATCGAAACAATGACCATTTTAACCAGAAGTGACCGGCCAGCTAGAGCTCGAAGCGTGACACTCTAGACCACTAGGCCTTCCCATCACCCTAGAGCCTTGCCTATTCTTCTTTTGTTGCTTTTGTGCTATACTTACATTTCAGTTGCAGTCAACATGATTCAACAATTATGTAGGCAACATGCCTTGCACGTTTCTGAAATCAAACAATATAAAAGTTAACAGCAAACTTTTTAGAGCACAACTGTATACAACAAACAGACATGTCCATCACTATGTGGTCAACCCTATTTCTGCACCTGCGACAAGTTGTGGGGTTATCTCAGTTTTATGCCACATGGGACATGACTTTCCATTTTGTGTAGGCTATCATAGACCTCATAGTAGCATGATACAAATTGACAGTCATAATTAGTACAGTTGACAGAGCTAAATTACAACAGTCTCCCCCACCCCTATTTTATATGAGGTCATAAAGAATCAAAATATATGGTTTGACTCTTATAGCTGGCGTCTTGATTGATAATAGATCATTTTTATGTTAAACTATGGCCAAGTTCGCGCCGATACACGTTTTGCTTCTCAAACGAAATCAGTTGTATTTGCAAGCTGATCCAAACTCTGACAATTTACAATGATTTATCATGACACCATTGTAGAAAACAAGTAAACATAATATATTATCAAATGATATAAAAAAAAAATCATGGAAATCTTACCCAATATTTGAAAACAATTGTTTATATTTTTCACGTCTTTCCTATTTCAGTGTTTACATCGCAGAGTTATCTCCCGCTAATACGAGGAAATACCGAAATTTATATATATCACCGAAACCACCCGGAATTTACCGGAACAGACAAGAATGAATCGATTCTGTTTAAATATCATTTAACGATATAACATTCATAGAAAATTGATTCACGTACATACATTTAGAATTTGCATGTTTATATTTGGGTTTTGGCAGTTTATTTTTAAAGGGGACCATGGCCGCCGAGAGCAACAAAACTACACACCATGAAAAATGAAAGACTATACTAGACTAAAATATATATTTCGTTATAATTTTCAGTCTGATTAACAAATAGACCTAAATAAAGTCAAGGGGTCTTTATAATACGTACATTACGTAACTCACAATTTCCCACACAGAACTTGATAGGCCCAATTTAGCTTCTTCCATCACCTTTGTCAGCAGTACTATGTCAGAATAAACCTTCTGAACTCGTGACCAACTAGTCGTGACCAAAACAAAGGCTCACCAGAGGCGGAATAAAAACTTCCTGAATTATAACCACCACGCTTACACTTTTATAACCAAACAGGTGGTTGTCATACACGATACGCCGAGATTTTGTAAGAGATGGACAGGGAAATGGAAAAATTGATAGGGCCAACCCTCTCATTGTCCCAATGGTTCATATCGAATATGAACCTGTAGCCTTTATCGCGTTCACAAGGCTTGTGATAAAGTTTGATAACTCGAAAACTGGAGGTCACGAACGCTGAATATGGATGGGGTTTGCCGTCTCATGACCCCAATACTCCCCCCCCCCCAAAAAAAAAACAAAACAAAAAAAACCCAAACGGATAACGGTTCTATCGCGTCCACAAGGTTTTCGATGGGCTTAACTCGGAAACTGAAGGTCACGGAATGCTGATTATCTATAGGATTAGTTCACCCATGTTCCCAATTTATCACACTAGAAAGCTCACAAACTTTGTTACGCTTTTCGTACGTAAGTCCATAACCCAAGCAGTTGCACCAAAATCACTGTATCCCCAACATCTAAAACGGGCCAAAATTGAGGCACAAATTAATGTGAAACCGTGGCCGTATAAAAATTTACATAATTTACAGATTTGTATTTATAGCTGCGTATCGGTATCATTGCTTTTTTGGCTGTACAAAGAAACGCCCAAAAGCAGACAAACCGTTACTATAACATGTAGCTAACTATATGCTTCATTTTTAGACATTTACATACAAAAAACGAAATTTAAACGAAATCAAACGCAGTGACTGATAATCAGAATGAATGCTAATGACACACTTGGTAAATTTCCTCATGCAATCTTTTCAGATTCACAAGGATACATAACATCTCTTCAAAGCAAGGATTTATGATTCTCCAAGCATGGATTTTTCATTTCGTGGCACGTCCGTACCTGAAATGTAGGCACGTTAAAATAGGCCCCCTGCCTTGCACCATTGTTACCTCTAATTGCCAAGAAATCCATTGCGGCCTATTAAGCTGCGGGTGGGATACGACTTGACCCTATTGGCTCGCCAGCCCCACAGGCTATACTCCTATCGCGTGGGGACCGCCCTTAAAATTCCAAGTTACAAAATAATAACATGTTAGGTGAGTCCAGACTAATGATTACTAAAAGGGGAATACCCAAAATACAAACCACTTTTAATAACTGAAATGGGGTTTAACGTCCCACTGTTCTTCTCCTACTGGGCTAATGACGATGAGCTTACGCCATACAGTGTGCCATGAGGGCAATTTAGCCCGGACAGTGACGTTATACGGTCGACTCTTATATCGAATTCCAACTGTCAAGGGTTCTTGCTGCCAACACCAATATCGAACACGGGATCTCTAGGTTAGCGAACTAACGTCTTACTCACTAATTAACTTATGTAATCAACCTAATGTAAAAGATGAAGCGGATTAAATGTTAAACATTTTATTTCCCAATTAAATCTGTATGAACAGATCTCCATCCAACATGTAGAGTATTCTTCAAGGATGCCACGATGCTGGCCATATTAGGATGATCAGCCAGGTTTACATTTTCTTGCATGTCGTGGGAGTGATCGTATAGTTCCCGGCTTATCGTTTGTGACATATCTGCTTTATAGGTCGGTGCTCCATCAAACTGAACCCATTCGGTGTAACGGTATCTATCCGTCCTTACCGTATATCCCATTGCATTGTCATCACGGCTATAGGTTTGTGAGAAGGCGGCAGTTTTCCCCTGTGCGGTCGGATTTTTAATTAAGTTGAGCATACTTTTTCCTTCCGTGCAGACAGTTACATGAGATGATTCTTCTGGGCAGAGGGGTACCTCAGGAAGTCCAGCTGCCTCGGCTATAGTGGGAAACAGGTCCACAAATTCGACGAGTTGATTTGTGACAGCACCTTGATCAGTCATACCCGGAACGCGGATCATCATTGGGGCATGTAATGCGTCGTCAAAGTTTGTTTGCTTACCCCACAGCCCATGTTCACCTAAGTTGTATCCGTGATCCCCTATAACAGCAATGATTGTATCATCCATCAAATTTAGCTTCTTTAATTCCGCCAAAACATCTCCGACCAAATCATCCATGTATGAGACCGTGCTAAAGTAGGCTCGTCTTAAATCTTTGACTATATTATCAGGAAAGGTAGTGTTTGGCTGGCCAGTGCTGTTTAAGGCGCGTATATCCTGGTAATCTCTAATTTCAACCATGTTATACCAAGCCAATCTCGGCATATCTATAGGAGCGTAGGCATTGTTAGGAAGGTGGATTTCAGATAAAGGAAAATGTGTCAAATATTTCTGTGGGAAGACAAAAGGTAAATGAGGCTTAGTGAAGCCAACGGCCAAGAAAAATGGTTGATCACCTTTTGATAGTTCATTTAGAGACGTCTTAGCTTGGGCTGCGATTTTATCATCGTCTAATGGATCTTGAAGTCGTTCGGCATCAGAGACGGCTCTCCAACTGACATCACGTTCGGTTTCCAAAAGGGGACCACCCTGCCCGCCGTGTCCTTCAGGTCCGACGTGTCCTTCGGGTCTGCCGTGTCCTTCAGGTCCACCGTGTTCTTCGGGTCCGCCGTGTCCTGCGGATCCGCCGTGACCTTCGGGTCCGCCGTGTCCTTCGGGTCCGCCGTGTCCGTCAGGTCCGCCGTGCCCGTCGGGTACACCGTGGCCGCCTGGTCCGCTGGGTCCGCCTGGTCCGTTGTGTTCACCGGGTCCACCGGGTCCACCGGATCCACCGGGTCCACCAGCATCACTCGCAGGTTCTAGATAAAATTCATTCCAAGATAAAGGATCATTATTGTTAGACGCTACCGCGCCCGGGTGAAATATTTTACCCATACCCACACTCCTGTATCCATTGTTCTTAAAATACTGAGGCAGGGTTGTAAAGTTGCCTCCGGCATTACGGAAATAACTGTGCAGATCGTAGACGTGGGTCGTGTCGGGTCTGCGACCCGTTAAGAAAGATGATCGACTTGGCGAACACAGACCAAACTGAACATAGGCTCTCTTGACCAACAAACTTTTACCAGCGAGATCATCGAGATTTGGTGTATATGTAGGTCCGAGGTTAAATTCCTTGTATAGGTCGAGCTGTGGTCTCAAATCATCAGATATTATAAATAAAACATTCTTCTTCGCGCCTTGGACAACCAGGAAAAAAGCAACAAATATTCCACCGAGAAACACACGCATCGTAAATACTGTCTGTCTTTCTGTTTGGTTAGCAACTGGCGAGATATATACATATACACATGTTTATCATTTTTTCCTTCGCTACCTATTGTGTTTATTGGGTATTTATCCAGACTAAGTTTTGTTGGCCAATCACGTTTCTACAAGGCCCAGTTTGTGAATAACTGATTAGAAAAAGTGCAAGAATTAATTTTTGAACAGCAAACTTGTCATTACAAGGCCCACAATTCTAAGATTACTGTATTTAATAAAAAGGTAGGCTATACGAGCGTACTATTTGTATCATGGTAGCGATCTTTTTATTGTAACATCATATCATAAATCAATCGTCCAAGGAACACGTATACATGTACCAAGTTTCATGTAGAGTTTACTTGAATTGGTGGAGCTATAACCTTTTTCCAAAAGCATCCCTCCCAAGAACAAGAAGAACATCAAGAAGTAAAAGACCAACAATAGGAGGTAAGACGTCAAACACCATTTCATTTCATTTTACAAGAAAACGAACAGAAGCTGGAACCCAATTCCTGGTCCAAAGCGTTAAAGCCTAAGTCACCCATATAACTGAAAATGGAATTTAATTGGTAATGTAAAGCTGCATGTTAAGCAATTCTAGTAATCACTTCCCAAATGATTCAATTAATATTTCGGTTTTGAAAGCACTAGACATGGTAGCTACGAGAACGTAACTAAAAACGCTGAGATATACTGATGTGCTTGTTTTTAACTACGATTGCACGATAAACCCCAGAATGCCTCGTTCGGCATTTTTGTCTAAACGTGGCAAAAACGCGCTAATAAAATTTTTGCCACAATTTTGCCATGTTGTAACTTGGTAAACAAAATGCCACGTTTGTCTGGAGTTCCAAAACGTATTTTTTTTTTAAATTGCCATGGTTTTCTTTTTAAATTAACATGTTTTTGGAACGAGGTATTTTGACCAGAAAGAGGCTGTTCACGAGGTTGGATACATGATTTTTCAAAAGGGTTGGGGTGGGGTTCAGCCAAACCAAAGTTTCGTCGAGCGTATCGAGGACAGCATAACATTATTTGGTGACCCTTTCAAGCGATTATATAGAGAAAAAAACACAAGGCAAAGTCGACTAGAAATGACATTCGTTGCATAAAAGAGTCTGTTACATTCTTTGTTGCAGTTTTATATGTTCATACATTATTTCCATCAAAGAGATGTGAGAAATGAAAAACAGCCAAGTTCTTTGTTGCAGTTTCATATGTTCACACAATATTTCCAACAAAGAGATGTGAGAAATGAAAAATAGCCAAGTTTAAAGCGGAGCGAACTCAATAATTGTTTTTTAGGCCTTTGAATATTATTAATTACAAATATGCTGTTCCCTTTTTTACATAATAAACGATATTATACTTAATATATCTCATGACATTTTATGCAATTGGCACTCAGTTGTATGTATAAAAATTGCAAAAGCAATTAAATTAAAATCCATCGAAAAATGAAGTAGACACAATTTATGTTTATATAATGACATGCAAAGCGGGGCGATGCGAACGACTATATTAAAAATGATAATTACATATACATCCTTCAGGTGACCGGCCTACGTCTGGATTCTTATATAAAGGGTCGATCTGGACTATATGTTGGGGAATAAAACTGCTCAATTTTGTGTTAAAAGCCATTAAAATCTTCTACCTTTGGACCGAGCAACTAACTCAATATACATGATACGTTTTCATCTTAAAGGCTCAATACCACTCTTGTTGTAACTGAATAATATGTCCCAATCTTTATTCTGGTCAACAAATTGTACTATTTTACAATATCCCAATTAATTGGTGATATAAATTTCATCTTAACACACCTAATTTAAAATAAATGGAAAAATTCAACTAAATGATTTGAAAAGCCTGACGTAAAGCTTTTCAACTGTGACTCGGATTTAAAAATATTTTTGAACCCTCTGGACAAGTAAAATAGGATTAATGGATAATTTACACAACAGGTAAGAAACTAACACATCTAGTACTTAGAATAAGGCTTTTTTTATTTTCTGGAGCTGTCAAGCCAGCAAGAGTGTTATTGTCCCTTTAAACCCGTCGTTTATTATATAAAAACAGGAACAGCATATTTGGTTTGGCTGAACTCCACCCCCAACCCTTTTGAAAAATCGTGTATCCAATCTTGTGATCAGCCTGGACAAAATACCTCGTTCCAAAAACATGGCAATTTTTTTTAAAAAAATACGTTTTGGAACTCCAGAAAAACGTGGCATTTTGTTTTTACCACGTTACAACTTGTCAAAGTTATGGCAAAAATTTTAATACGTTTTTGACGCGTTTGGACAAAAATGCCGAACGAGGCATTATGAGGTTTATAGTTCCAAGTGGCAAACTCAATTTCTTTATTAATGTATGTACCATCTTAAATTTTATACTATTAGTACTTATTACACATACGCAGTCCAATCTACTGAAACAACATTCATTTATCAGCAAATATTGACAATAAAGTAAATCAAGCGTTGTTTTTATCAAAATTGATTCCGACCTTCATAATTACGCCGTAATACCTACTGCGCAACTCTGATCAGATGGGTACTTTGATTGGCTATTGCACACGAGGCCCCGCTTTTATGTGTTACAGACGTAAATTTAAAATGTCGTTAAAAGCAATCTACTGTCGCTTTGATTTAAAAAGAGGGGATTTGTACCCGTTTCAGGTAGGATTATATGCTTAATTGTAGTTGGGTGTGGCAGAAATATTATAAATAACAATAACCAATCGTTGTTTTGATTAAAAATATTGTCAATTTTGTTTACAAATGCCGGGTGCGAATCGCTCCCGCATGTGCTACGTACATTGAAGGCAATGGCCTCATCTCTTATCTCGAAACACGGAGGGTTGAGAGATTAAGGTTTGTTATCTATAGACATGGTAACTGCGCTATTCCACAGCATTTCGTCTTTTAATTTACACATGCGGGAAATGGTTTAAAGCGTGCACCTTAAATCACAAATTCCCCCCCCCCTCTTTCTCTCTCGGTCTCCCTCTGTCTGTCTGTCTGTCTGTCTGTCTCTCTCTCTCTCTCGCTAAATTATAAATCCTCGCTAAATGTATTCAAAAGATTACTTAGAACTCGAATCAGGATAGCACCGGTAGATAATATCCGGCTTGGGTTTCATCGGATTACAAAGTGACACTTCAAAAGATTTACCTAAAAGGTATAGGTGCAGCTGTCTTACATCGTCTGCAGAGGATATCTATTGTTGCGAAATTTTGATTTCATCAAATACTGTACGGAATTTAACCATTTGCGGAATGATATTCCTTTCGGAGATTCCATTTTCATAATATTGAATGTGAATCAAAATCTGTCAAAAAAGAAAGGCCCGCGGATTTAAATATTGTTAATCGTGGAGCCGTGGGCATACAATTTATATTATGAAAGACCGTTTCTGACTAATATCTTTGTTCACCAGGTCCACATTTATGACTTCAACTTCAGATAAACTTTTTGTGTGTCGTGATTGATAGGTTCTTGCTAAATCCGTTGGTCCCTTTTTTCTTTTTTTTAATTTACAGATTAGAGTGTCCCGATTGTACTGATATGACTCCATTAGCTCAATTGGAGCAGAACAGTAGGACATTAACCCCCATTTTATTTCATTGCATTTCATTCAATAAAAGTTTCTATACATGTACCTTATAAATAGTCGATTCAAGATGTATTATGTAAGATTTAGGCAAATAGTTAGCCGTTCTTGCTCAATCTGGTTAAAACACAGATCCTATATCGTTTCGCTTTTTATAGTTCAAAATTTCCATTTTATTTGTCTGTACTAAACTAGCATCTGGAAAAGTTGTTATATAACCTGCGTTCTGGATGGCTTGAGGGATTAGCCATGAAACGATCTGTTACTGCGACTTCTTGGCGTGCGATGAACAGAATTGTGGGTAAATCACTAGAAACGTCAACGCTGAGTGATTAATAAATGTCTGACGTCATAGGGTCAAGAGCCGCTCGTGCGACTCCTGACCTGACCTTCCAGTACAACTGGTCAGATCTTCATGTAGTGTAGGCCATCAAAAGTATATAAAAAAAAAACCGAAACGAAATATAGATCTGTATTTTAATCAGATTGGTTTTTGCTATAATAGTTCAAAACAAGATAATGAAAAATAACGTTAGAGGGGCACAACCTGAAATACCCGAAAACATTTCCGATTATAGACGCCTAGGAAACACCACCACCACCACCACCCAAAGACAATTTGGAAAATGTGACGGCCGTAAATGCGTTTTCCTGCTATTCCAGTCCGTGAATACAGCACGTGGTCAATATATAGCCTAACGACCCAATCAATCGTTTACAGTCTACGGAGACGGGACCGTCGGGAGAGAAAATTTAAAAATTTAACTGCCGCAAACGCGTTTCCCTGTAATTCCAGCCCGGTCTATAGAGCTTGATAAAATACGTAAAGTTTTCCGTAGGTTTTACCCACTAGATTTTGTAGTAACAAGGTACCGGTCGACCATTCAACTATTTGATAGAAACCTGTGGAATCTAGAAATGCAGCCCATTGTGTACATTGGTAGTTACCTTCAGCATGTATACTCGTGGTTTGTTGTATTGCTGTGTCAAGGACAAAGTAAGATGAATTAGAAATATAGACGTGTCTGATATCAACGGCTCGCCTGGTCAGGTCATAATGTTCAATCACTATTCTTAAAGACTGATCAGTGACGACCACGTTATATAGCTGGGATATGGTTCCAAAACTACCATTAATTGGTCCAATATAGCTAAAGGGACCACATAAGACGAAAAGTCTAAATTTCATGTACGTATAGCCAATGGCTACTATATCCACTTTACGGCAAGTTCACACCAATCTGATTAAAATTAATTCGGCTGTTAACATTTAAGTTCAAACGCTTTTCAATTGTTCAATTACGACCTTAATCCGGTTGATTGTTGGTGACGTCACAGACACTACACATAGTATATACATTATCTATACAATATAT